ATCTTCAGGCTTCTTGACAGCATTTGCTTTTGAATGTTTTCTGGGTGAGAAGTTGGCACTGTTGAGATTTATGCCAGATCTGCCGGAGAATGAAGCTGCTTCTTTCTCCAGGGAGAACACAAGCAGCTGGAGGAGGAGACCTCAAGTCTTCCAAAGCTGACCTGCCTCTCAGCAACTGGCTGACTACATTTCTAGTCTCCAGCAAGCTGCTGGAAATAACCTGTATACATCATGTCCATTTAAAGACCCATACACTAGCTCATATGAAATATGGGTGTCAGGTCCTACAGAAGTTATACATACAGGAATATACCCTGCCCCATTAAGCAACTGACCCCATAACGGATTAATGGTTTGCTTATATTTCTATCGTGCTGGGGCAGTCATTAACAAATTCTGTTTACTGCCTGGATAGCAGATGGCTCCACCTACTCACGCCAAGGATGGAGACACTCCTAAAGCTTTAGGACAGGATGGTGGAAAGCTCAGTAACCCTTTAGGAAGTGTGCTAACAGTTCAGGTATTAACTGGGTTATTGTTCACAGGAAATCCCTGGGGAAAGGGAAGCGTGAAAGGAGAGAACCTCAGGGAGTGTTTGGATGTGTGAGGTTAAAAAATAGACCCTTAACCTCTCTGAGCACACGTGTGTCCCCACATCAATGCTCCTTTTCAGCAAAAGCAAGTCCTAGGACAAAGGTTTTGCTTGAGACATAAATTTCAGCTATGGGACAGGTGTGTATGTGTCCTAAGAGTTTGTTCGGGGGGGAAATGCAAAGGGAAATCTTTTGGAGCTGGCTCAGCATACGGGGAGCTATAATCTGGCTTTATTTTACTTCTGCACCCCTGCCTCTATAAAGTTTTTAATGACATTGTTAGCATGTTAATAACAGTAAACATAACTTTTCTTTACTTTTACCTAATGTTCATGTTCAGTGAAAGAGTGATTTCAAAAGCTCCGGCTTTCCATTTCCATGGGCAGGCATGCTGGACCGCTCACATGCCGGCCTCTGGGGCAGCCGAAGGGTAACAGATTGTTTCTTAAGCCACCTTCAAAGGCTCTTTGAGTAGCTGTTAACACACGGTGCCAAGCGGGAAAGCTACTGTCGAAGGCAGGCACTAGTGACCATCGGCCTGCCTGAGCCCCCAAACCTCCTGCTGCGCTTGGAACATTCTCCTCTCTATGTCCTTCAGTTCCCAGTTTACTCAGTCCTGTCAAAATAGGAACCATTAACTGCTTCCAAGGCTCTATAAAAGCCCGGAGTTTTAACAGTTTCGGTAGTGTGGACAGGAGTTTCTTGCTAGCCACGCACAGATCTTCAACCTCTTGGCATTCGGCGTGTGGGAAAATGTCAGCTGCCACTGCCATGACGTGGATTTTGATCTGCAGCCTAGAGCTGACAGATTTTACTGTTTATTACATATTCCCAAGCCATTTACTTCCCTTTAACACTCTAAACTCCACACTCAAATGCTGACATGGGTATTTTTCAATTAAGCACCTTTTCACTGTTCAAGTTTGCTTAACAGATAACTGCCTGTCGGCTTTTTGCTTTCAACTACTTGTTTGCTCAGCAGCGAGGCTTTTCGTAATTAAAGCTCCTTTTCAGTTGTTCTGGTCTGAAATATTTATTCTTCAGAAAAAAATACTGAAGAAATGGCTTTGTATGACTGAACGATTGCAGGAAACACTTCAGGTGCTCGTCTGTTCTTCAGTAACACAAGTTTTTAAATTTATCTGTAGAATTTTCCGGCTCTTTTATCCACCGTCTCTCCATGTTCAAAGCTTTGCTGACCCTCATGAACAGCTCCGAGTCACTTCTTCTCCTGGTGCCAACACTTCACATCCGTTCCTGCCAGATCAGAATCTGCACAGAGGAGCTACAGAGCACGATCTCGAATAAGCAGCCGTGAATTTGTCTCACAGAAGTATTTTGAGCACCATCCCCCAACCCAAATGCCCCAGAGAATGAAATGTTGAGAATTCCTTCTCCTCCTCATCTAATGTGTGTACAAATCACAAATTAGATAAGAAAATACTCAGCACCTGAGGAGCAGACCAGAGGTTTTTCAGACATGAGGCCCTGTATAGTATCACAGTTGACAAATAAAATGGAACTGCAATGGCAACATCTAAAATAGCACGAGAAAGTACAGACCAACAACTTGTTGCTCATAAAAAAAGCTTGTTTCCATTTTCATACTCGGGTTGTATTTATGGAATTTGCAAAAAGATAAGGAAAAGCCTCTATAAATACCTAAACAAAAGCTGGTTAGTTCGAGCTTTCATGGCCATGTGTAGACTAATAATTATTAGGGCAATCAGAGACACTTTGGAAAGTAAAGACTGCGTCCTAATTTAAGCAGTTTTACCCTAATGTGCACGTAGGTTGTGTAAGTGTTCAGCAGTGGTTTTTGTACCTTCCTACTTTTCAAACTCCTGTAGTCAAGCACGCTCTATCACAGGAAATAATGCAACTTTTAGCCAAGATTTGTCAACATGAATTCTTGGCCACAAAATGTACCACTAAGAAATCTTTAAACTTGGTTTGAGGTAGAATAAAGTTGAGTCCGCTGATCTTGGTGCACGCAAAAGTTGTCTATAGGATTGGAAGAGAGATGGGAAAATTTCAGCCTATAAAGGAGGTGTTTCACAAATATATGGCTTATCAAAACCTACTATTATACAGAAGGAATTATTCATAACTATACTGCTTTGCCATGCAGACCTTAATCCCCCTCAAACAGCCTACGTCCATAGTCACTGAAATCAATGGGGACTTTGTCACTGGTTTCAAAGGGCACAGGAGGTTACCGGAACAGCATCTGCAGCAGTTCCCAGTTAGGAACATTAGCAAAAATATCCATTTCTATCTCCATGTTTCATAAGACTGGCCTCAGACGTGCTTTGGAAACTTCTTTTGGGGGGGGGGGGGGGGGGAGTATGTCTTTCTTCCACCAAGCTGCATATTTACCAGCTCTAGTCCTAAAGATGATCTTAAGAGCTTGTCTCCCAGAGGATCAGAACTTCTTTCTAATTTTCTTCTTTATTGAAATAAGCAGGGCTTGAAATCAACTTTTTTTTTTTTTCTTTTCATTGCTCACAATCTTTGCTACTTACATGAAAAGCAAGTAGCACATTTCCATATCTTTTCTGAGACTTTTGCTTATTTCTTTGCTCATCTGCCTTTAGCAAGTTCATGCTCAGAAAACAGAAGAGACTGAAGGTAAAAGGGAATTAATAGTTTATTCAGCTCAGGAGAAAAAAAAAAACAACAAACCAACAAAAATATTATATTTATTGTTTGGGAATATTAAGGAAATCAAGGTGTGTTTTCAAATTTTAATTTTGGCAAGGAATTCCTGTGGACCTACTGTAACTTAATTTCTCAGTAGCTTTGTTTCTCAGTTGACTGCTTTAAAGTGAGGCAAATAATACCCTTCTACTTTATCAGAGGATTTCACAGCTAAATAATTTAGGGCCAGACTGTGCTATATTTTTTTTCACATTGTGCAATAGTTTGCCATGCAAGTATCCCCAAAGGATCAGCAAACCTATGTGACAACTCCAAAAGCAGGCTTCCTTAGGGACTATCACGTGTTATTAGACATAATAAAAGATGACAGAATCTGGTTGTTAAAACTTCATGAGATGCTCAAATACAGCAGCTGTTAAAGCTATAGATATATTACATCTAAAACAATCCTGCTTTGCTACATTCCTAACTTCTAAAATATCCTTTGATTTCAGTTTTGCTACTCTTTATTCTCAGCACATTTTTTTTAATCTAAAGCCTCTGAATTTCTCCTCAGACAAGGACATACCCACAGACACTGCTGCCAGGTAAAATTACTGCAGTGAGTTCTGGCTTGTACAATTTTTGGAAAGCATTCAGAAACGTTTTGCTTCTCGGGTGCTGAGGACAGAATAAGTGTCCTCCCTGCTTAGAAAGTGACAAAACTTCCTTAAGTAATCGAAGACATTTTTTTTGCACCAAGTGGTGAGTGGTTTAGCTGGAGGCTATGGGAAGGCTGTAGGGATGGCACAGCTATGCAGGGTGTATACCATGCTAGAGGTGCTGCCCTCTGCCTCTCCAGAAAACCCATCTCTGCAAGGATGAGAACAAAAGAACTGTTAGAGGAGTAATTACATAAATTAAATAACTATGAGGGTCTACCCGAAGGTCTGTTTTAAGCTGCTGGACATCCTTGGTGTGAAGTTACTTGGCCTGAAGGATGGAGTAGGCTGAGGACGTACAGATTTAATACTCCTTCCTGAACAGTTTGACACTTCAATTGCTAAACACCACTTCCACGCTCTGGGATGGTCCAACATCCCAAACTCTGAAAAAATAACCTATAGCCTGCTGCCATAATTAAAATTTCTTTGGGCTGCTAAGCCACAGATGGATAAATTTACTTATTGCTGAAGCTTAGCAAGGGACAGGATCCGGCCCCTGGAGCAGCCTTGTCTTCACGCCAAAGGAGAACCACAGCTGTCCTACCATAGCCCCGGTGAAAGCATTGCAGCGAACATTTCCCCCCTCCCCCCCAAAAAAAAAAATCTTCTGAGCATTTTTTTTGTGCTTGAAAAAACATCCCCCCCCCCTTCCCAGGGAGCAAAACCGCTCGGGTTATCAAATTTAAAAGAGGGAAACCTTCCGGGGAGTGTGTGTGGGGGGGTGTCACTCATCCCCACAGCCCTGCACGGGTTAGACACCTCGGCACAGGGAGGTGAGTGGGGGGATGCCCCCCTCAGAGTGTAGGGGAGTGTCCCACCATGTTAATTAATCTATAAAATACCCTCATTACCGCTCCCTCCTCCTCCTCGCCAGGACCAGGCGACCTGCCCCTGAGGCGAACCCGCGCGGGCGGCGGGAAAACGCGGCGAGGGGCGTGGCCACGGCGGGGGGCGTGGCCACGACGAGGGACGGGGGCGGGGCGAGCGGCCGGGCCATGGAGTCCGTCGGTTAATGGCGCTCGGGGCCGGTGGCGGCTGCAGGCGGCGGGGGCTGGGGGGGGGGGGGGTGAGGGCGTCGCGGCGAGGGAACAAAGCGCCGGAGCTGCCAGGTAAAGGCCGCGGTGGTTGTTGCTGCTCGCTCCCCGGGGGGGGGGGTAGGGCAGCGCTGATGGGGCTCCCCCCCCTCATATATCGGATGTTTGTGAGAAGAATAAATTCTCCTCAACGTATGTTTCCCCCCCCCCCCCGGCCTCCTCCCGGAGCCCCGGCGCTTGAGGCGGGGAGAGAGGAGGAAGGAAGGTGTCGGCTTGAGTTTGTGGCGGCGCAGCGGCGGTGTCGTTTTACCCCTGGGTGTGGAGAGGGGAGGGCGAGCGGGCGGGCGTGAGGGGCTCGGCGCGGGGGGGGGGGGGGTGGCAGCCGGGGGGGGGCGGGAGCCGGCGGCGCGCGGCCGCTCTTCAGGGCGCCTCTTCTTTGTGTCCAGGCGGCGGGGCCGGGGGGGCCGCCCGCGGCCATGGGGGTGCAGGACCGGCCCCAGTGCTTCTTCGAGATAGAAATCAACCGGGAACCAGGTACGGCTCGCCGCTCTGGCACAAGTATTCTTTCTCGAGCGCTGTGTGTGTTTTGTCGCTTTTTATTGTCATTATTATTATTTTATTTACTACATTTTTCCCCTTCCTAATTCACTCGAGCTGTCCGCAATGAGTGAGGCGTTATTTCCGAGTTAGTTTCCAGCAACTTTGGGTGTTTACTGGGGTGCTGGATGCTTTTAATTCTCTCTAGCGATTGGTTTTTATTTGCATACACGAAGAGAGGCTCGGTGAGGCTTACGCTGGTCCGAAGATAAAAAACATCCTGTGTTGAAAGTGTTGTTTGGCTGTGTGTTATACCTTTACGATTCTATAAACCATGGAAAATTGTTGTGAGGAAACCAGAGAGGTACCCCTAGAAGTATTTTTAATCATACAATAATTAAAAGTGGAAAGGGACCTCAGGAGGTCATCTGCTCTAAGTCTTTCTTCTTCCTGCTCAAAATGAGTCTTCTGCGTGTACGTGAAGAATTGACCGTAGAAGAATTGGCCATAGAAGTATGAAATATCTCACCAGGTGGCCTGTTTGAAAAAATAACAATTAAAATAAATCCATCTCTGAACTCATATTTTCCCTATGGGCAATGTAATTTCCTGTAAGTGGTAGACTGTGAGTTTCAATCCTGGAATAGTTACTTGATTTCCTCTTCTGCTTTCCCCACTCGTTAAAAATGGTTGTGCAGATTTACTTACCCATCTTTTTGAACATGAATTTATCGATGCATATTAGTTGTCTCGCAGATACTCAGTGCTTTATATTGCTGCTATTTGTTTCTCAGAAAAATGAATAAATGTTATGGCTTCATTATGCTTTCACTTTCATTTTCTGCTTCAATGTTTCTCTGAAAGCCTTTGAAATAGTTTATATCTCTGCATTTTCAAATTTCAGTTGCCTTCAAATGTGACTGTAACCCACGTGGCTTGCTTTCTATTTTCACCAAAATTTCAAAAGATAGGTTCAGTTCTACCTTTAGTGACCTGTTCGGGCATATCTATAAATCTGTTGCTATTGTAACTCCTGTTTGAGTTATTCAGAAAAAGCACTATTAATTAAAACTCTTTTACTGAAGAGAAAATTGTTAATACCAATAGAGTTTTAACATTTACTGTTTCTTTAAATTCAGATTTACTATGAAATAGGCTGCTAAAAATGTTTTAGGTTGGGTAGGTTTCCAGTTTAGGAATGGTAGTTTGATGGGATTGGTTTATTTATACCAGACAGTTCATTCTTCATCTCGTTTTTAATCTCTGTTAGAGTTTTTTCGCTATCTGAGGAATCTCTCCCTGTGCTGTTTTCTTCTTCTCTTCCTTTATGCACACGTTCCTGCTCCCATTTCACAATACCTCTTGTTGCCTGCCTTGTCCCCTCCTCAGCCTTGTGCTATGCATCACGAGTGAGAGTGGATTACCTTGTTTTGCCTCACATCTACTTGGGTTTGATGACTGATAGCGGTGTCAGGGAGGAATTGCAGCGTTAGTGTTCTTGGTGGTGCAGGGCTTTGGTTACCTGGAGGAGACACAGGGCTTTGGCTCTGTTTGTGGCTGTCTGTATTTATTTTCTCTGTAAAGTAACAGGAATCTCACAGCTGTGTGTCAAATTCAGGGCCCTGCTGTTTTTATTGCACCTGACTAATGACTTGTATTTTTGCAGGGAAAAGTGCCAATTTGTAAAATGTTGGTATTGGGACTTGTGTGTGATCTGGTTATACTGCTTTATTCTAGTGTCTGTTTATTAGTTCACTGTACAACTATGGCTCGGGATTTAAGGTTATATTTAAAAAGCTTAAACGTTACTCTTTTAGCTGTAAGATGACCTTCACAAGCTGAATCAAGTGTGAAATGATAAAGCAGTGCTTCCAGATGACATGAAGCACTGAGAGATGTACTCTCCTGCCGATACTAGTGAGGTATTAATTTGAACTTTTAAACTGCCAGCAGATTTCCAAATTAACGTTTTGCTTTTTTGACTTTAACACATTAACCCAATCTGCTTGTTCATTTTTATTAGATGTAGGGAGAAAGAACTGGGGGGAAAAAAACAATTCTGCATTTTCTTGATAGCTAAGAAATAAGACATTGCCCCCACTCTGTCTACACTGAAAAGCTGAACTAATATTTCTCCACAAAATGCAGAGAATTAGAGGACGTGCTTCTCGCAGTACTGGAGAAGTCTCTTTGCCTGCGGAATACAAAACTCTGTCATTTTTAACAGCGTAGGTTGCTTGGAGTCCAAAAATGTTTCCCCATGCAGCTGCCAACTCTTAGCTTTCCCCTTACAGACTTCTCTTACCCAGTGTTTGTCAAGATACCTGTAGCAATTAAAATTGAGAGCAGTGCACAGAGTAGATGAGAAGGAGTGGCAAAAGGTGGTGGTGGGGGTGTGTGTGTCTATATGTGAGAGAGTTGGAATTAGTTTTATTCTTTAACTAAATCCCTTAGAATATATGGGAGTGACTATTGTAGCTTTGGTTGTGCTTTCAGAAGCTTTATTATAGCTTGTGTGTCTATATTTTAATTTTAGCTACAGAATCTTGGAATAAAACTTGATGCCTGCTTGTATGTGCCTCTTGCAGTGGGGCAAATTTTGTAGGCTCTGCGTCAGTGTTTTTTAAGTCTAAATTTAGGCTGCTTTTATTAAGCTGCCTGTTAAGCATTTTTTTATGAATGCACATTGTGGTTCATAGTTTTTAAAAAGAAAATGGAGAATAAATCAGGAGTAAGCATTTATTCTGATACTAGCACAGACAGCACCTCTCCCTTCTTTTGGGCCCCTCCTGCCAATGGATTTGGCTGCATACAGCATGCACATAGGAGTAAACTACGTACAGTATTCCAAGAATTTTGAGATGGTAGCAGATGCCTATTTAAATAATTCTGTCTTTGTGATACAAAATCTGTGTGGAGCTTCAGTCTTTCAGGTACCATGATAATTAGAATGGATGTCTGAGCAACATACATAATCTGTTGCTGTAGCAGTTCATATGGCCATCCAAGATTTTTTTCACACCTATCTTCTCCCCACCTCCTGTAACTGGCTTTATCCATCATAAAGTATGTTATATTTACTCATTTTTGCTTTGTTTCATTCTATACACAGAAGAATTTTCCTTCTTAGCTTTTTTTTTTTTTTTTTTTTTTTTCTTTTTCTCCTGTCTTCTGTTATTGTTTGGCCCCTTGCTTGCTTTTTCATTCCACTTCAATTTCTTTCCTTCCTAGGGTGTATCCCTTCCCTGATCAGTCACTCTGTTCTTTCATTACTACTTCTAGTCACTTTTGCCTAAAGTTTAGTGTATTTTGGGGATTTCAGCTGCTATGAATTTCTGTGAAATAACTTCCACTGCAAAAGTCATTGTAATACTGTGTCTGCATTAGTAGAACCAGGGATGCCTTATGGGTTTTTTTTGTTACCCTTCTTGAAAACAGAAACTGTTCTCAGCTGGCTTCTTGTTAACTTCTAGCCCTTTGAAGGCTACCCTACCCTGACCTACCCTGAGCTTTTACCACTTTGAATCAAGTATTATTTCTTCCTCAGCTGAAAAAGTGGTCAGGGGTTTTAAAAAAAACAACCAAACAAAAACCAAAAGAGAAGTTCTCATCTTTCAAATTCAAAATAGAATTCTGAAACTAGATTATCTCTGTTCATTATGCCTTCTGGTTCTGTAATTGGTGTAGCTCATTAGCTACAGATAGCACTTTATGAAATCGAACTTCAAAACATCTTAGACTTTCTATATGCATCACTTACTGTATGTAATTCCCAGTAACGTAAACACTTCTTTCATCACTCTAATTTCTATCAAGAAATATCTTTAGAAAAGAAGTTAAAAGCTTGCTAACGAGTAATTTATCAAAGTATTGTTTTACAAATAATAGGAAAATGTTAAGTTATGGTTGGATAAATTTGTATGGTGTTGGCTAGCACAAAAAGTACAGTAATGCACTGTAAAATCTACACTGTGATACAGACAAACATGTCTTCATATCTATGAGCTGGTGAGAATCAGTCTTCTATCGAGAACAACACTAAATGTCCTGCTTGCTGATGGTTTAAAATAAAGATTTTAATAGTTTACATAACTTCCTTGTCATGCTGGAAGATTTGCATCTCAAGTTAGGTGAGAATTTGATTGTTTAAAAATATCATCCCAGCATTTTTTGCCTTGGCCTAGAAGTGGGGTATCTCTTCAGGCTTATTTCTTGGCTAAAGCTGAGTGGGTAGCAGACTTCACCTGCTTGAATAGCTCTTCTTACCAATTTGTTTGTTGTAATTTACCGTTCAAGTCCTTATGGTTAGTCACAGAAAGCTTGCTCCCTAACCAGATAACTTTATCCTTTGTGTCAGGGAAATGAAGCTGAAGAAAATTTCCAAAACATTCTCTATACAGTGGAGTTAGATCACTTAAGAGGTGTCTAAATCTGAGGAAATTAGTAGCATCCCAAATGCTTTTTTGATCTGTCATGTCAGCACATGCCTCAGCTCCAAGTTCAAAATAAATGTTTGGTTTTTTTTTTTCTTTTTGAGGGGAGAGGTAACAGAAAGATTTGTAGGTTCTAAGTATACTTTTTGTACGTTTTATATAGATTTTACTTTTTTTTATTAACAGCTGTTATTTCATATGTATGTGTCTGATCAAGGTGTGAAAATGTGCTTGATCTTTCCCTGGCACATTTAATTGACTGTTTGTCAGTGGGAAAACATAATCTTTCAGTGATAATGGCATTCATGCAGTTTAGGTAAAATACAGATAGTAACCCACCAGATGGATACACAGTATGTGGTTTGTGTATTATGAGCACACAGCAACATTTTGTATAGCTGGATCTAACAAGGTAAGCAGAACTTTAGGTTATATGGAGGAGAGATGTGTGTATCTTTTAAACTAGAGCTATAATCTTTTGCTGTTGGATTACAAACAGTTTGTAGGAGTTGAAAGGCATGGGAAGCTAGCAGACATGATTATTGACAAAGCACTAGTGAAAGATCCTACTGAAATCCTGATACCTTAGTTATGTCTTCTTCCGCGTTCTGCCTTGACATCATCATCCTTCCAGCAGAAGACAGATGTGGTGGTGTCTGCTGCTGAAGGTGCTAAATATGGTGGGTTTTTAGGTGGGACAAGGTCTTGCAAGCATAAGGCTTCAGCAGTTTATGCCTGAGGGCAGAAGCCCCTTCTGGAGCCCACAGGCAGTGACACCTATTAGTTTTTTGGCAGCTGTCACCTTGGTAAATCAGCAGCTGATCTTTATTTCTCTACTCTTAGTAGAATGGGAGTAGTGACAACTTCTTCTCTGAAAGGCATCGTGTGTTATTTCAGGTAGTGAATGCAAAAGGAAATCTGGGCGTGCCGTTCTAAAGCACCTGGTCACTGTTCAGTTCAGCAGTTTGGCGAGCAGAGGAATGGGATTTCTGCTCTCCTGAATTACCGTCCTTATAATGAAAATTGATAACTCTCTTACTGAAGTGTCATCTCTATCATGTTATCTGTATAAATCTTCAATCCACATAGCTTATAATGGTTTCTTCACTTCCAAATAGCTGTCTCTTCATAGTGGTAGTTACAGCTACCTCTGTTTAATGTGAGGTCTTTGAATATTTCCTATTTCTTCATTCCTTGAACACTGTCCCTACCCATTTTCTTTAGATTTTCCTACTGTAATAGCAAATGCTCAGAGAACATTCTTACTGCAGTTAATGAAATGCAGACATTTCAACAGCTGAAGGCATTTCAAATTTTTATCTAAGAGTACAAAATACAGGTGGTATCTGTGTTACTTTTATTTCTCCCCTTTTTGAACCAACACTTCACCTTGGCAATTGTATACATTTGGACAAAGCCCTAAAATTGAATACAGTTTCTTAGGAGCCTCTCAGAATTTTTCTTGGTGATGAAGTACTGAATAAAATATATTCGAACTACAATTTTTAGATTTTTTTTTTTTTTTTTTTTTTTTTTTTTTTACTTTAAGAGAAGGAAGAGAAGTAATTCCTGGAGTAGTTACTTTTTAAATTTATCTTTGAAGTCTTACCAGTGTATACCACTAGAGGGTAGTGCTCATTGACAGATTGTCACTGCTTTCCTTGTAATGCTGGACAACCCTATGGCTTTTATGGTTAATTTTACAGCCTACAGAGATAACTTTTTCTTTGGTAATTATGTATTTTTAAAAAATTTCATATATGTGGGAATTTTTTTGTTTTTGTCTTTAGTAATATACATCCCAGTATCTTGGAAAATAAAATAGAAAATGTGAATCAATTCTAAAATAGTTTTTTATATTAAACCACTCTTCAGCAGTATTTTAATAGTTTTCCAAGGTGCATAGTGTAGCTACCACCAATAGTATGGGGGTAGCTGTACTGAGAGTGAGAATTACTCTGTTCAGAGTAAAAGAGAAAAAGTAGTATTTGGTTCATAGTATCTGGAAAGTGAAGCATTAATCCCGAATCTGCTAGTATTGTTCCGCCCGCCTTTCATCTTTCCTATTGATTCATCTATTTTTTAGTTCTTTTTTTAAACCCAATGATTTTTAGGCTATAAGTGCCAATGTGTCTATAATCCTTAACACAGTATGGGACTAAGTCAGTTGGATTTTTAGGTAACAATCACAGGGAAAACTGTGGAAATGTAACTATTAATGTATTTGTATAAACAGTGCAGGGGGGTGAAATTATCCCAGCTCTCTGAGGACCTGTATTTATGGCAAATCTTTTTCAAAGCAAATGAATTGACAGAATAAACTACTTTAGTAAATCAGTTTGGCTTTCCATGTTCAAATCAAAATGGAATCATAAGGATTTTTAATAAATTAGATATAATAATATTACATAATCTTAATTTTTTTACCGTTATATTATTATTCTTTCCTGCTGCTTGTTTTAATATAAGTATATTTGAGATGTTTTCTTATTCTGCTTGGTGAAATAACTTTTTCTCAGAAAATTATACTTTTAAAACATGCTGACTTATTTATATGCAGATTTTCTTATATTGTTATAAAGAGTTATAAAGCTCTTAATTATTATTTTTTTTAATCTTCTAGTTGGTCGAATTATGTTTCAGCTCTTCTCAGACATATGTCCAAAGACTTGCAAAAACTTCCTTTGCTTGTGCTCGGGTAAGTAACATGCTTATATTTAAGAAATTTAATGTTTCTTACAATTATTACTTGTCTATGCAAGTATAAACCACAACATAATAATAGTGCTGATCATTTTTTTCTGGTAAAAGCAAAGCTGAGACTTGTTAGCACTGAGGAAGATTTGAATAATGCACAGCAGGAAATACTGTGTTATTCTGTAACTGACTGAGAGTAGTGGAGATAACACATGGTCACAGGATGCAAACCTGTTGACTCATGGAACAAAACCATATTTTTTTTTTGTCCCTAATATGGGGCTCCTGTAGGTAGAAGTGACTGGCAAGGCTGAGACTGTGGTGGAATTATTGATCACTCAAGGTATACAAATGTGATAAAGGCAAACGATTCTTTGGGATTTATCAGGAGACACACTAAGTATTAATATCATTGCACAGTATAATGGTGACGTTTGACTTGGGACACTACATAAAATTTAAATATATATAAATTTTTTTTAATACAATTTTCAGGTGTATAGAAGTGCTCTGCAGGTATCAGACAATAGGAGCATCTATTAAACATGAGCAAACGGTTTCATTTTTAGCTAAATGAAGGACTAAAAGGGAATATGACAGTCCCTTAGAAATCCTGGGATTCTTTGGTGGGAGAGAGGAGAGAAGAGATCTGTGAAAGCAGAGGCAGCATTGGCAAAAGAACGTCTGGGTATAATGTAGCACCCTTCAACCCATTTTTTTAAGCAGGACTTAACTTTCTGAAAATGGTTTCTAATGATTAGGAGAGTAAGGGTAGTAAGGGTTTGGTGGGTTTTTTGGTCTTCCCTGTTCCTTTTTCAGCTGTACGTCAAAGATTAATCTTAATTAGTTTATTATAGGAATTGGTGTGTGTTATTTGTGTGAAGAACGCATTCAGTGTCTCTTGGTGACCTCGTGCTCTTTTATACCTGAAAGCTTAGCGACTTGCAGTATACCTTGAATTAACTGCATCAGTGAAACCTCTACCTTGTACATGAAATAACTCTTTTTGAAATCATTGAAATGCTCCAGCAAGACTCCAGGTAGCATTTTAACATCGAGCTTTAGTGAATGGCTTTTATCTAACTGGTGATGTGAAACAAATTTGTTGATACCCTTATGCGTTAACTTCATACAGTTCATCTTGTCAGAGCTCAAATCCCAGAATGTGATGTGTTCTAGATAATCTCTCTGAAGATTTAGAAGAGCTTTATAATAATATGAACTTGGGGAAGGTACAGTACATTTTTATTTTTAAGCTCTGTGTGGTGATGCCCCCTCTTTTTATTCTACTTTCTGATATGTTTTTTTATCACTTGTGCCTATTAAAGAGATATCTAGGGATGGACTGAGAATGGCACAATATCATGGAAAAGTGGGAACTCACTTGAAGTTTATCTTAATCAGAATAGATTACAAAAGATAAGAAATAAAATGCAGTAGCAGAATGCATGGTATAATGTCTGAGCCTTGTGTTCTGTAGCTCTGAAGGATTGTTTAAATTCTTACAACAGCTTGGCTAGAAAAATGTTAGGTGGAGATAAAGGGAGGAAAAGGTGTTGGAGATGATGAGGAATGAAGCAAGCAGAAGAAAGAACAACTTTAAAAAAAAATAAAAGTCTGACTTCTTTGTATTACATCCCAGTTTGAATCCTGATCTGCAGCTGGCTGTACAGGTTTCATTGATGTCTTCAGCTGGAACCTGTCTTTAATTGGAAGAATATTTGAAAGTAAGCACAAAGTTGGAAAGTCTACTCTTGAGATCAGATTTACAGACTTAAAAGCTACCTGAAACATTTGTTTCATTCTTGCAAATTGCATTTGCTACCATGTTCTCATAGAATAGAATGATGATTTGACAGATACCTTCAAAAATTTGCTAATAAACACATGATAATTAAATTCTGCAAGGGAGAGAAAAGCATATAGAAGAACCTGAAGTAATTTAATTTCTTTTGGTGAATGTAATGTTTAAGAGAATGAAGTTTATATTAATTCCATTTGCTGGTAGAAGCCATCTCTTTTCTGCTGTGGTAGTTCTTAAACTTGAACTCTACATGGCTGAGCTTGGAGGCTAGGGTTGCATGGCTAACATTAATTGTTTTATTATTTGCACTAATTACATCTGGTTTACTGTTGAGTTACTGGCCTGAGTTTTTTTTTCTTATCAACTGTTGTGTCTGCCTTTCTGCCTCTCCTTGACAAGTTCTTCCCATGCGTTTGTTACTGCTAGTTTATCTGCATCATTATGCACACCATTTCCCCTGCCCTGCTGCCTTGGACTGTCAGAACCTCGATTGCCTCGGCATCTAAAAGGCACACCCTACACGAGGATGCCATCTCCTGTGTGGTACCACAGATGAGAGCTGTGGCTGGGAGCAGCAGGCCAGGCTTAGGGTCATCCAGTCTAGTTCATTCTTTCTTCCTGTCCCCATGGACTGATGTAGCATTCTAGTTGGGCTTCTGTGTTTGCCTGGATTATGTCAGGGGTGCAACAAAGCCTATCTTCAGAAGAGCAGCAGTTCTGTGATGGGAGATGGAGGTGTACTGGTAAGATTGCATTGACCTCTGGCAACCAGAACAGAGACGTGAAGGATTGCTTTAAATTTTTAGAGTTGTGAGCTGCTATACTGTCTTCAGAGACCAAGTAAGTAATTTACTTCCAGAAGTGGGGCTCCCCTGACTCCTGCCACTTTTCACAGCAAGATCCATTGGTAGAACTTCAGTTGTCATAAAGTGTGAGTTCCTGTCAGGTATATCTTTTGTTCTTATCTTTTGATCTTTGCAAAAAATTTTTGAATCACTGGAGGCTTACTCAATACAGCATCACTTTCTGGTGCTGACATCTTGTAGCCATATGTGAGTCGTGTTCTCAACTAAGCAGGTATATAGCTGCGTAATAGAAAGGGGTTGCTATCCTGTTCTGGACCACGTAATCTACATCATGGAGGATCTTAGCAGCAGGCTGTGATCGTTGTACACTTCTGTACCACACAAATTCAGGATTCTGCATGCTAGGCCAATCCAGCACGTTCTTTTTTCTTCGATGTGTGTGGGTACTCACCTGCATTGTAGCTGATAAAGGCAGCACAGCCGCAGAGTACTGTGTGTCCTCACGCCGTTACAGACCTCGCAGCAACTTGATTTGGGCTGTGCATTTCCATTGTGTCACTGTGAAGAGGGATTTCACTTGCCTCAAGGCAAGGTGATATGCCCTGAGAGAAGGACTGGAGACCAGTGTTTAGAATGCTGCGCCCATCACCGTGCCTGCTGCTCCCTCTATAATCTCTGTGATACAAGCCGCGATGTTTTTGTGAGAAACAGATGGATGAGGACAGGGTGATTCTGGCTGCCTCCCTGCAGCCCGACATTGTCAGAAGTAGACCTGGCTCCTGTGAAAGGGTGCTGTCTCCCTTGACAGCAAAAGGCTCCTTGCGTTTCAATTAAAACATCTGCACTTGCAAACTGGTGTTTGCAGATCCTTCAGTCAGTCCACCTACTGAATAAGCACAAGCCCATCTGCTCTTTGGTGCTTTGTGAGGAGCTTCTGTTCTCTTAATCTCCAATGGAGACCACTACTGGGCACCTAATGCAAAATATCTCAAGTTGGGTTGTCAGTGCGGGGTGTTAGTAGGGCATGAGAGCAGTTTACCTGCCAGAGGGAAAAGGGGATTTAGATAAAGGCCCTTGTGTTGTCCCCTCCTCAGCTAATGGGCTATCCCTTGCAATCACTGTGCAAGTTCTCCTCCACCATCCCATTTCCAAGCAATTTGCAGCACATGGGAAGAACTGCTTGGGCAGGAAGGGTACAAGCAGATGGGGCTGAAAGACAAATTTTTTTTTTCTTTTTCAGACAAAATTCAGGCATATTTAGGGCAAAAAGAATAAAGGTAGTGTTTGGCCATAAATAAAAAAGAAGCCCAGCCCGTGGGCTTTGTACTGGCTGCTGTGGGAAGGTGTCTGAGCTTAGGGAAGTGCTGCAGCTCTAACCAGTGGAACAACTGGTCTCTGTCTTTTGCCTGACTGGGAGTGCAAGGATTGGTTTTGAAAATCGGAGTGACATAGTACAGCTTTTGCAGGAATTTAGCCCTCCACCATTTGGCCAGCAGCTTAACTGTATTGTATAAAGTGTCTGTGGCTTATGGGGAAGTAGTTGAGTTATACAATTTTGCCCACAGTTGTATCATGCATGAAAGGAAGGGAACATCACACGTACTGCCATTTGTTATGGTAGGGACTATGCTGTCTTGGCAGTACCATAAAGGAGAGTTAAAAAAGGGCCTATAATTTCTGGCCATGGTCTACAGCTCACTTCTCACCTTAATAGACCAGCTCAATCATGTGGTCAAGTGCAATTCAGGATTCCATTCTGTAAGGGGATTATTTGTAGACTGAGGGACATACTGAAACATGAGCAAAAATGTAGGCACATACTCCTTAGTATTGATTGATGTGAGTTTTCCAACTCTGTAGCAGAGAGGGACATATATTGTGGGGAAAGGGGGTGTGTCCATCCCTTTAATAAATAGCTTTGCATGTTTAGCTTCTGTGGAAAATAAAAATGGGGGAGGAAGAGGCATGAAGAGTCAGGGTAATGGAAAATAAGTTGTTTTCTCTTGATTGAAGGTTTCTACAAGTAGAATAAAGAGCAATGCCATGAGTGGGTTTTGTGGCACAAACTGCTGTTTGCCCTCATCCTGGCAGCGATGGGCTGTTGGAATGGCAAATTTGGGGTGGTTTGGCCAACAGTTAGTGTTGGGTGGAGGAACGGTAGATCGCAAAAGGGGAGCATTGGCTTTGGGTACCAAGTACATGGACATCTCTGAGGGCACAGTGGTAGAGAACCAGTTAAATGTCCTCTGACCAAGTGTCAAATGCCAGTTCTATAACCAGTGGTGGATTGAAATTAAATGTTGGGTTATTTGTCCTATCTCACTACAGAATATCTTCTGCATGTGTGGTTTAAGTAGGATTTTAGCTGTTGCACAGGATATAATATACTCTTAATTGCTGTGTTCTGCCTGCTCCTCTCCTCTTAGAAGCTAAAGTCAAGGTCTCTTGTATGTTTCCTGACTGGACCAGTATAAATCGCTCATGAACCTACTGTGTAGGACCTATGCCCTGCCAGTCACAGTGCTTTCGTCCACATGCCCAGTGCAGTTTTTCTTCTGAATTTTGGAAAACATGTTAAGGAAGCTTGAGGTTCTGGGGTGTCTTTCTCAAAAATTGCCAGTAGGCTTGAACTACAGCTGTACCTGGAGTCCAGTGAGTGCCACTTCTTAGGAAATTTCAGGCTCAAAAAGGATTAACAAGTACTGTGGCCTGACTTGGCTTCTGCTGCTGAGTAAGGATGGCCCTGGTAGCAGTTCAGGGTGTGGGGGATTTTTCTTTTTTCTCCCTTTTTTTTTTTTTTTTTATTCCTGTTATGGTTCTCATTCAGTTCATCCTGAAATGGTTCTTGTACATATAGTTTTGATCCCCTGTTCTGACAGTCTTTTCAGAAATGAGAGTATGTTTTGTGCAAGTTTCCTACTGAGATGGTGGGGATTGGCGCTGAGCAGATTGGCATTGAGGGGTGGCCTGACACTGTGCGTGGATTGGAGGAGGTGTGACACATGCTTGGTGTAGCTCAATCCCTCTTTTTTAGAGTGGAGCACGTTGAAACTGAGTTGAAGCCTGTTCTGAGCTCAGGTTTTTGTCCTGGGATTCAGCTGACACATCCAGATACATAAGTGGTTTGAAAAAGACTCCAGTGTAAGCTTCAGCTGACATAGGACTGTTGCTATAAGCACAGAAAATAGTTAATCCATCATTATCATACACTCTTGTTATCTTATACATTGGCCTGAAAGATTGGTAATAAGTACACTTCTTGAGAGTGGAGAAAATACTTTCTAAGGAACCTCATTTTCACTGGAGAGTCCCCTTGTAAAGGTGTCCCTTCTGCTATTAATGGGCAGTGAAAAGGAAACAAGCAGGACTGTGTTGTCTTTTATAGTTGTGCTATTCTGATGACTCTCTTATATCCATTAGCACAAGGGAGGTATAACCCTTGGAATTTGTTCAGTGACAATCTGTAGACTCTTTTTGTTCAACCTTCTTGCAGGTGAAAAAGGAATTGGCAAAACAACAGGAAAGAAGCTGTGTTATAAAGGCACTACGTTCCATCGGGTGGTTAAAAACTTCATGATTCAGGGTGGGGACTTCAGTGAAGGTAAAATACACTTTTAAAAATGAAGTGTTATAACATTTCTGTTCCCTTTAAAACTTACCTGGTTATAATGTAACTTTTTTATGGCATTTTCTCATATTTCATTTGCTGTGAAGTATACCATAGGTTGTCCATTTCTTCGTTAATTTTTGAAATTCTAAAATGTTTCAACTGAAGTACTGTTTTTTTTAGAATTATGTGTTAAAGAAGAAAAACCCTCACTGGCAATGTTAACACCTATTTTATTAAACTAATTCAAATCCAAACCATAGTCTCAACTACGTTTCAACACTAGTAATGCTCTATTGATACAAGGACATAACTGTTTGAATAATAAGCAATATATTAATTTATTAAATAATGCAATGAAAATAATAACAAATTAGTAAATGAGCTAGAAACGTTTAATGGATAAGACTCTAAAAGGAGATTTTTCCAGGAGTTTCTTTGTTTTCTTCCATGCAGTATGTGTATAACATAATATTGTCCTTCCCTGAAATATCTGTCCTCAGCAAAATGTCTGTCTTCTTCACTGGGTCCTGAAATGTTTTACTGACAAAACAGGTGTGGTGAGGGGATATCACGTTTAGAGAGTCAAACAGGCTGTTGAAACAGCTAGCTACTCTATTTCATCAGTTCTAGTGGTTTCTCAGCTGCTTTGAGCCCAGACAAGGTTGTTGGTCATACCTACTGTTGTCTTTTTTTTTTTTGCTTGCTGTTGTTTTTGTCTGCTGCTGCTTTAGCAAATACCAGTGAGAATTAGCCTTCGGAGCCCTGCTTCAGGCTTTCCGGTGTGCAGAGGCACTAAAACAGTTTTCATTCTCAATGTTTTGAGTTTCAACACAATAATGCAGGGCTGTGACTTTTAATTAAGGAGCTTATGCTCAGATAGTAGTAACCGGCCAGAGTTTGTTATGTAACTGTATAACTGGCCTGGTTTGTTATGGACTCGTGGAATGTTACATACAACTTTTTTCATAAGCAAAACAAAAGGTTTAATTAATGCTTTTTAATGTGTAGGTAATGGAAAAGGAGGTGAATCTATTTATGGTGGCTATTTTAAAGGTAAGATGAAATACGTCTTTGCAGATTCTTTATTCAGTTCTGAGATAAACAAGTCTTGATTCCCAGACTACTTAATGAAAACAGGTCTACTTATAGATCACCTTTTGCATGAAACTAATGTTGCATGAAAATTCTTTTTATATGCATGACTTTCAGATAATTTTTTTGGTAATATTTAACTTTAACTGACAATTAATTAAGGCTAACATTATTGGTTAAACATGACTTTCAGCATGGAGGTTAGGCAACTTTATTCATGAATAAACTCCTATCTTCCTGCCTAAAACTGTCAACATATTCTTTTGTTTATAGAGAATGTGGTCTTTTGCAAAATGAAAAGGTAAGAGACAAAAGCTCAGTAACACAAATTCAAACTGTTCCCTTGTACCCTCCCTAGTAAATATATAGACAACTGATACGTCCGTTTGTAGATGGATATCTGTGTTGCTTGGAGAAATGAAGAGTTCTGTGTCTAACCTCTCTGAGGGTTAATGACTTATTCTTAGAGCTGGAAATTATGCCAGTATTCTAAACAGTTATTTCTTCTTCTGTTAATGTCCCTTTCCTCCCCTTCCCTATTCAAGGTTTGTATGCTTATTGTTTGTTTCTGAAAGTGTTTGACTTCATTTATATGCTACACAAGTTACTTTGCTTGCGAAGAATTTGTAAATAAATGTACATTTACCTCTTTTTGAAATCTATTGTTAGAAGGAAAATGGTAAGTTTATAAAGTATTCCTTTAAAGACATAGAATTCTTTCTTGCAAAAAGCAGGTGGTTGCTGTGATACTCAAGTGTTAATAAAGGCACTGTATGTGTTTAACAGCTGGTTCTGTATGTTTTGCAAGTAGCTCTGCATGGTCAAGTGCATTCCATTAAGTTTGTCTTAAACAGAGACATTGGTTGGTTGGTGTTGGAGTATTACAGCCTTTAGTCTAAAAGTCTTGAATAGATCCATTTGCTAAGAAGTTTCTAGGCTTTGTTTCTAAAGGCGGTGAGTGTTAAGCATGCAGCATTGTGTTTTGAGATGTAATCTTAAAAATAATGGCTTTATACACTGGAATTACTATTTCTAGTTTTGAAAATGAACTTCAGAAGATCTGGTTTTATATTACGCTGTACAACCAGAAGACCTCTTTAATTCACTGAAATATAAACCACATGTTTAGTTTAGTCTTAATTGATTTTATACTTAGGTTGTGGGAAGAGTATTTCCTTCAGTTTCTCATTCAGGTATCTAGGGTTTTTTTTTCCCTTGTATGTTTTGAGACATCCAGTTTTGAATGGATAGGTGGCTCTCTTTTAACATGCCATACCAGGGAAATGGCTTTTTCTCTAGATCCTTCTACCTGAGGTGCATGCTACGTAAATAACAGTATCATGTATGTTAAGTCTTGGTTTAGGATGTCAGTAAATCTGCCAACCTTGTTCTTATTCAGAAAATGTTGGATTTAAATCTAAGTCTGTGAGAGTCTAGTGTTTATCAAAGACATTAATAATGACTTAATTTTTTTTCACTAGAAATGTTTGTACTATATCTGAAACATTTTCTTTAAGAAAGAATGCTTTCTGTCTCATAACTGCTTCTATTGTGTCTTCCAAGAGGCTTGTTTCAACTTGATTTTTGCTTTTTTCCAACCTGTTCGTGTTTCTTTTAGCAGCAGCAGAATTTCTCCTTTATAGCATCCATAAGATACTAAGAAAATTAGACTTGCATTCCTTGTCAGGGAAAATCTGACAAACATATTTTTTCTTCAAACAGATGAAAACTTTATTCTCAAACATGACAGAGCGTTCCTTTTGTCAATGGCAAACCGAGGGAAACATACCAATGGTTCCCAATTTTTCATGTGAGTAGATGTAATATGACAGTTGAGCTTTTCTTAAACAGAGAAGCGCTGTTCATGAGAAAGATGGTATTGCTAAATTATCTATAACAATGTTATCCGCCTTACTTTAAATAGGGTTGAGTGGGTACCTGCAGTGTAAGCTATAATAGGAAACACTAGTTATCACAATTTGCTTGTGGCATTCATTTCAATTAAAAGCTGGTACTACATGGATATTGCTTATTTTTACCCTAAAAATATGGCTTATGCAGTAAGTTCTTAGTGTCCAGAAAATAGATTCTTTGGCTTTCTGTGTGCACCAACCAAATCTTAACAGATTATCTGCAAATTACAATGTTGAGCATTGTGTGCAAAAGGGAGTGAGATCTAGAGGTGGTTTGTATGGTTTTGCATGTGCTCTTTAGAATATGATGATTTATGATTTTAGTTTTGGGTTTGTTTTTTTTTCCCCCCCCTGGAGGGAGGATGAGTGGGGGTTTTGTTTATTATTTTGGTTTTTGGTTTTATTTGTTTTATTTTAATATTTTTGTGTATTTGTTCCTGACATGCTTTTCTTCTTTACTGCTACATACTTCTGTTTATTTGTGTATATACCAACTACTTTGGTACCAAAAATAGATAAAATTTTGTGCTGATAATGAGATTTTTCCTTTGTTGACTTAAAAAAAAAATCCATTCTAGTATGTAGCCATATTCTCTTAGATTGTAGAAAACACTTGACACTCTACTATCAGTAAATACTCAGGTCTGATATGTCAGGGTCTTCTGCTTAAAGTAGTTGTATTCTAGGTTGGCTATTTTTAAACTTGCTAATTTTTATGTGATTATTCTTCCTGTCAACTCCCTTTTAAAAGCTGCCTTCTGTTAATGTTTAACAATTTGTATTTGGAAAGATCTGGATTATAACTTTTGGGCTTGTGCTGAGAAGAACTTTGTGAAGTAACACTGGTGTTTTCAAAAGTAAATTTTAGGGTAGTTACTTAACTAGAAAGACTATGTTTTTTTTTTTTTCTTTGCCATCTTTCTTGGGGGATAAGAATGAATGGCGCTTCACTGTCTTCAGTAAAGGATTAAATTGTTATCAAGAATTTTTCTTTTTTTTCTTTGCCTGAAAAAGATCTTCAGTATGATACGATAAAGTTCAGATAAGAGACATTTTTAGGTCTCTTCCTAAAGAATGCCCTAAAAATGGAAAATGAATAGGAACGTAAGAGGAAGTCTTTCACAGCTACCACTGTTTTGTCTTTTCATGGAGATGAAATTGTGTCAAAAGCTTGGTTTCTGTTACCTTCAAACCAAATTTTACATGTCATGCTTCCTTACAATAAATCTAAATGGATATGTGTATACTCATTAATATGGAAAAAAATCTCTACAAAACCCCTGTGGTTTAATAAGCTGTTTGAAAGACATTGGCTCACTATTTACTACTTGGTGACTTATCTTTTGATTCTCTTGTCATAATTTTCCATTTTTAAGCTTATCTGAACAATATACATGAAAACTTAATGATGTCACATCAGTCAAGAAGCTATCATTTGAGGGCTCTAAAGTTTCTTTTCTCTCCTGCATTTGACTCGGAAGTCATCTTCCTTCCCTTATGCTCGTTTCACTCAACTTACTTGTTGAATTAGATTTAACAGATATAAACACCTTTTCTCTCCCCACCCACCAAAACAACCTAAGGTTGTGTTGGATGCTAAATTATAATTTACGTGAGATAATAAAATGAACAGTATTTACGAGCACTTTCATCACATACAGAACTATTTTGAAAGATGCAGATTTCCTCAAAAATGCTGCTTTTTTGTAAAACCACTGCAAAGAGTGTTAGTTTGATGGGAAATCAGGCAGAGTAAGATACCAAAACAGTCATCTCCATGTAAGCTAGATTGACCTCAGATGCCTGTAGGAATCTAAAGCTGTTTTTTTAGGGCCCTGAGGTGTTCTCCCTGACCTTCAGCTGGTGGGAGAGAAGGGTGTGGATGTTCTGTAGAGCTTGTGTCTTACCTGCCTGCCCCACACACATTTCTTGGGTATCCTGTAACGCCTTAGATGGCACCAGCTTGCCCTAGAGTCAGGCAAGTGAATCAAGCCCAGGAGTAAATTCCCAGTATAACCAATGAGGTTTAGGTGGGCTGCTGGCTAAGTCTTTAAAGCATGCTCCTAATACTCTAGACTTTGGCGACCCTCACGACCAGGGCATTTTTTTGTTTTATCTCATGCCAACTTCTAATAATCTTTGAGACACCGTTGGGAACTCCAAAGACAGGGAGTGCAAATAGGTGATGTAGCACCTTCAGGACACCCTGCATTTGTGGAGTAGCAGCTGGAAGCCAGGCAGGATACAGTAGGGCAGCTCAAGATGCCTGGATGTTGGCAACTGAGTTTTCTCCCTAGGGCTGACCAGTAGCTGAGATGCCTGCCTCACTTGTGGATGTCTTTAATATATTCAATTTATGCATTTAAACTGAATCCCACCTTTGGCTTCCAGTACTGCAGCTGATCCTGGGAATGAATACTTACAGAATCTGTACAGAACCCACTGAGGCTGCTCGTCAAGGCATGTGTGTATGTGCACAGTCACTTGCAAAGTCAAGTTTGTGTAAATTGAGTTATCAAACGAATAGGTGAGGATGGATGGTGAAACACATAATTCAACAATCTGTCTTTTTGTACAGATTTTTTTAATGGTGGAACTTGGTTTGTACTTCCTGACAAAGATTCAGGATTCGAAGTAGGAAACAGCTAAAGATTTTAGCTAAGCAGCTTCTGGCTGAACTGTAAAATGCAATATATTAAAGCAGTTAGTCTTGCTTGGTGACATTTGTCTGATTACTTTAGGGAATGCATCTATGCAGCTTTTCTTTAATAAAATATTTGCTTCCTTTAGTGTTATACTTCAAGCTGAAATTAAAATGTGTTTCTTATACTCAAAAGAATACTCAGCTATTCAGTAGTTTATCATTACGAAAAATGTTCTTCAGATGTATAACCTTAAAATTATGTGAAAGACAGTCTTCAGTGTCAGCCTTTAGATTTTTTTTTTTACAATGGTTTGAACATGTTTAATTTTATTGATTAGATTTATAGAAAGATAAGTAGTTCATCTCCATCTGAACTTCTTTAGACCCGCTTGCTTTGGGGTTTTTTTAATAGATAATGTCAGGGATGAGAATTCTGTTTCTCTATCATATACGTCTAATGTAACAAATAAGGAGTGCAGTTAAGGTTTTTTTTTTATATATATATATATAAGTATTTGTCCTCACAGGGCTAAAATAATACCAAGAATTCTGACTATTTTGCTTATTCATCTGAGGTGCTTTCCCTGCTTATCACAAAAAAAGTGTCATTTGGAATAACTAGTCTTTACAGAAAGTAATCAGGCAGCAAATATGTCTTTGGCAGACTGCACTGACAAACTGGTCACAACAAAACTATGCAATGCCTAAAAATTGTTAAAAGTTGACCTATGGTGGTCAGTTTTACTTGAAATAGAAGTTTCAGATGGTAATCTTAATGTAAGCAAGCATCTGACCAATCCTAAAGTATTGTCAGCTTTCTTTGATTCATCAAGAATTTCTCTGGCATGAATGAGCTTGAAGCATTTATAAGCAACAATAGAGAGCTGGGCATGGAAAAGAGAGTGTAAATATTGTTAGAAAGTTCCAGTGAGAGGCCAGTGTAAAAAGAACGAACATAAATTAAAGCCCTGGTAGAAACTGGCAAGATGCAAAAGTAGAATAGAGTTAGGAGGGGGGGTGTGTGAATACAAGTCAAAAGTGCTGTGTTTAATGCTCGTTGACTAATTTTTCCCACTTCTAATCTTTTTTCTTACTCGAATAGGAGTAATAGTTGGGTTGAAAGGAGAATTTTGAGCTAAGGAATATGTTTTTCATGCACACATATTTTAAATAGGCCAAATCTATTCACACATGTGTCTAAGAAACTTTTCCTACTCTGAAGAAATTCATCTTGTTGAAATCCAGCAGAAAGGATAGAGACACCATCCCTTAATGTTTGGATTTGCGAAATACCGGAATTTCAATTTTCTTTACCCAGAGGGATCTCTTGTAGCATTTTATTGTAGACTTGTGTTGAAGGTAGTCATAAGGCACTAGGTTATAAATTGGCTACTTGTATTTTCAGATAGCACCACTATTTAATTTGATTCTTTTTTGTGAATAACTTTTAGAACCATCAGTTATTTAGCAAGTGTTCTAAGCACCACCTGAGTGCGTTAATCTTCTTTAATTGTCCTGTTTCCATGTTGATACTCAGATATGGAATCCCTAGCATGGGGTAGATGTTGACAGGAACCACTCCAGAATCATCTTCTTTTTCCTATATACTCCAATATCTGTTTTGAACTGCTGCTGAAAAGACGATGATGATTATTATTAGTTATTGGGTGAATGCATCTAGAGTATTGCACAAATATAGTTAGTGTCTTTAGGTCCCTGATTTGGAGTCAGGGAGGGGGGATAGTCAGCTTGTTCTTGGATGCTCCAGTTCAGTGGCTGTATTACTTGTTGGATGATGTTTTTCTTGAGCAATATATTCTGCTTCTCAGTAGAGCTGATCTGATAATGGTATCTTGTCTCTTTAGAGCAACTCCGTCATGCATGTGGCCATACCCAACCTGCTAGTAAGGAAAGTTGCGATACAAAATAAGTGCAATTCTTGTGAAAATGAGTATGTAAAGTACTACAAGATTAATGAGACTGTTGATCCTACAAATGCTTGCATGGGCTTAACTTTGCTTCCATTGTCATACAAAATCTGTCAGGTGACAGCATAAAGAAAACAATAGGAGGCAAAGAAAAGTAACCAACCTCTTGGTCAATGAGAAGTTTTGTGTAATAATTTCTTGCTTTGTTATTTAGCAATGTAGTTTACTGAGGAATACGTCCTTATTAGAACTTAGAGGAGTCCTAGGTTGTGTTACCAGTTCAAATGCTTTGAGTTCTTCCCTTTGTGTACAAAAGCTATTTAAAACTTAAGGCTGTTTTGCTATTGCTGCTAGATTTATTTTTTTTTTTCCATATTGAGGGTATTGTTGGTTTAAGGTGTCTTTCAAGCTCTGCTTTCTTGCTCAAAACTAAATAGCTTTTTTGTTTTTAAAAAAAGTTTGTAATGTGTGGTGCCATGCCTAGTTACTAAATTCAAACAAACTAACCACTTTGATCTGCTAAATGAAGGATAAAATAAATTGTGAGGACTCTTTTATTTTGATTTTACAAATTATTTCTAAATGTTACCAGCTTATTAGAAGTGGTTCATTTCTAAGTCTCTTTGGTGTTCCAAAACAGGTATTTTTCTAATCAACACTTAATTTTTTTTTGCTGTGAATTAAGTAACTTTGAGCTAATTATTGAACAGTTGACAGTAATATAAAAATATAAACATTTCAAATGAACAGGGCTGATGTTGCATTACCTTTGAGCAAAAGTGGTATATGTGCACTTACCACACAAGCAGGTCCTGCTGGCTTGATTAAAGTTTATGTGAAAGCACAGCCTGTGTGAAAGCATTCACAGGGTGCTTCTATGTGTAATAATTGACAAACCAATCATTTCAATGCTCAACTATGTAGAGACACAATTAAGAACTAATAGTTTATTGGGGGGGGAGGGAGGAGGGAAATACGGACATGCTCAACTGAAAATGCATTTTTAAAGCATTGATGCTGTTCAGAATTATATTAGAGCAATAGTATGATATTAGCTGGTGCATATGTTTTGTCTTTTTTTGCATCTGCAATGGGTTTGTTTTTCTGTAATTCTGAACACAAGCAATCTAATAGCAATGTACATATTTTAGAGAAAACACCTGTTTTTCTTAGTTTTAGAGAAGCTTCGTAATACAAGGAAGATGTCAGCTAATTATGAAATGTATGAAGTTGTAGACTTACCAATTTAACATGTTTCATTTGTAAATCAAAACGTTTAAGCTATGGGGTGCCACCCTATGAAGTATATGCTTAAGACTGGATTCAGTAGAGCATTTGAACACCTCTGTGACTGCAAGCACATGAATAAACCCATTTAAACCAGTTATTCATCTGCTTAAAGTTGTGCATGTGTTCTAACACTTTGGCTGGATTGAGACTCAGAGGGGAGTGGGAGGATTCTCTTCTCTAACCATTTATCTTTGTAATAGTGTATGCAAGCAGGTTATGTGTATAGTTTTCTTTTTGTTTTTAAGGAGAACTTACTGTAGTTTTCAAAGTACCTTGAATTCTAAAGAAAATTTAGAGCCCTCTTTTAGGCATCCTTGTTCTGCATACAACTTGATTAATATTAATTTTAAACTTGTATTTAATAAAACATAGACACAGTTTTGTCTGAAAATGTATTACAATTTATTTCTGCCATTTTTGTGTAAAATTTACAGAAACAGTGTTACATCGTGCGCTCCAAAGGTAATGTCTCATTCCTCTAAGGCTGTGTCCTTTCCTTTTCTTTCTGTTTTTATCTTTCTTGTTTTTCTGATCATATTGTTATGTGCATTGAATCCTTTGTTAGGACTGAGATTCTTGGGGGGGTGGGTGGTGCTTTTATCAAAAAGATGCTTTTCTCTTCAGCAGTATCTTAGGCCAATTTATTTTACACTTGAGTGAAGAAAGGTATTTGTCTTTCTGTAAATAACTTGAATAATAAATATATAAGGCAGACTTTGAATGTTTTAAATCATAAAAGTACTGTATAGTAGTGTTTTAATAAAATACTATTTTGGGGGAGGAACTCATCATGACTATAGGATTCTATAGTGCAAAGGCATTAAGTAGGTTTTCTCCTGATTAAGTTTTGAAGCCAAAGCAAATGTTCAAGGATTGAAAGGCAGAACATGTGTAGCAAACTTTGTGGTCTTTTAAAGTACACATTTGCAGAATAAATGTCATGTTACAACCCTAACATTGAGGAAAACTTTCAAAAGCACAAACGAGGAGATGGGTTTCTGCTTCCCTTAGGAAGTCTCTTAAGCCACCTAACTCTTCATCACGCATCTGAAAAGTTTTCGTTTTGGATAATGCTTTCCCTTGTCTTTTTACTTCATGAACAAGTAAATAAGAATCTTGTCCATTTTATCTATCAAATTCCCACTGTCATGGAAGAAACCTCTATGTGGGTTTTAATGCAACAACTGTCCCTTCCTTTGCTTATTGAGGACTAGTCTAAAGAAAGTACATGGCTAGGTAATTTGCTTAATTGGTCTTCAAGTGCTCTGCAGCATGGCAAGAGCACCTTACTACAGGATTCATATCAAGTGTCTTTGAACCTATTGCTGTTTATAGCTAATTTTAAGCATAAAGTCTTATTATTGGTTTCATTGAAGTAACCCACTTCGATATTTTTTTTTTTCACTGCTTTAAATCAGCTTTATAATTAAGCCTGCTTAAACTGTTTATCTAATAGCAGGTTTTTAATGCAGCTAACTTTTACCTATAGAACTTCAAAAGCTGTAAGAATTTTTCTGTTTGTAGCAATATGCTGTATTAGCAAGGGAAAAAGTAAAGAACACCCCCTACTTTTGAGAAATTAAATGTTATCTTGATAGCATTTATTTCCCTGTTTTAAACCAAAGAAGTTTATAGTATTTAGTGTTACAGAAGTGGAAGGTCTGGTTGGCATTTGGAGCTTAAAAAAAAAAAAAGAGTGTAAACACTCCTGACTCACAGTTCCCATCTTTTGGCATTTGTTCCAGCACTGCAGTGTTTTGTGACCTAATAGTTCAAAACTTGAGTGAAGATACGTGCTTAAAAAGTAGTATTTTATTGTATCAGTGGAAAACTGACTTCATTGTACCACATCTGTGTTATTGTAAAATTAGAAAAAGCATCTGTGATTGATTGATTATTTTGAGAGAGGGGAGTTCATTGGAAGAAGGCTAGAAAGACAAAATAGTGCCTGGGGAGGAGAGAGGAAGAATGTTTTCAAATACTAAAATAACTTTAAATGCAAATAATCTTCTTGGTTGGTTGGTTGGGTTTTTTTTTTTTCCCTACCCCAATATATAAGATGAATGCAGGTTCTGATGTTCCTTATTGAATTTGTCTGCATAGCAAGGTTTCCTGTGCAACATTATGCAGGCTTACTTGTAGAAATAATTTCCTTTCTTTTTTGGAAAGGGATATAGAGAGATACCAGATCATAGCATTATCATCAGAGAGGTGAATCTTAAAATGTAATTGTATATGCACAGCCTTGAATATTCCAATTTGAAGGCAACTCAGAAATTTGGCGTAACTCCAAACGCCTTTTATGATAGCCTACAAAATGTAATGCAGTTGCATTTCTCCTTCAGGCTAGAAACAGCTAAATGTGGGAAGCTGAAAAATAGGGAGAAAGTCTGTGTTTGTCACAGAAGTAAAGTGTAGGGTAGCATATAATGTCTGCTTGTTTTGTGCTGCTGTTGCTTTGGGGAAGCCTGTGAGCTTATGAGCTGAAGTGCTGTAGTCTTGACGGTTAAAGATAGAATTATTGCTTTGTATTCTGAGTCATGAGGCCAGTCAAGTAAATGGAGAGTAAGAAAGAAGCAGAGGAGGGAGGAAACAAAGAATCTAGCTCATATGATAACTCTCTTCTTTTTTTAAACAAACTGACTTTAAAGTGACCTTGTAATGTAAGAACCTAACAATTTCAGAAACACTTAAATTCCATTAGTTAACCCAATATTTATTGCCAAATCGTATCTTCTCTGTGATTAAAAATGTTAGTTATATTTGAATGTGTATTTAAAGATGCTTATTATGAAATTGTTTATTGCATGCATAAAATGATACTTGGTACATTCAAGTGTGCAGTTAGCTAAATTTCAAACAAATTTAATGTAAAAGTTTAAAAAAGCCTATGTGTATAATCTGTGAAGTTTTTTTAATTCCATGTATGTAACTGGATTTTTTCACTATTTTTTGTCTTACCTTCACCTCTTTTCTTTTTTCTGTGCCATTCTCCTCTTTTACTTCATCTGAATCCCTGATTTTTATTTTTTTTTTTTACCATCTTACCATCTTGCTGTTTGTCAAACAGAACAACAAAACCTGCTCCTCATCTTGATGGGTAAGAATCCTTTATAGTTTCTCCAATGATGGCTAAAATTTGAAGGTTGTAAGTCTTAACATGTTATGTTGACTAGTCGACAACAATGAGGAAACAAAATCCTCTTTCTGTGAAAGATTATACAATAGAACAAGATGGAAGACAAAAGATTCCGTTCTATAAAAATTTCAAGTTGCAGCTTGTTTCCTAAAACTGGTCAAAAACTTGGAAGGTCTTAAATCCTAACATTATTTCTTTAAAACTGGTTGCTGCCCGTAGACCATAAATCAGTGAGTTGAGATGTCAGGTTTAATATATTTGGATGGTACTTTCTTTTGTGGCAAGTTTTTTATCCCCCAAATATATTAGTTCCTGGAAGTATAACTTAAGGGGCAAATGGAAGGAGGAAGGAGAAATGTGATATGATAGAACAAAACTAAGGATTCCTTAATTAGATCTGTCCTTGCAATGCCAGTGGGAATTTCTGTGCTGAGTTTGTATAGACCTATGATTTCTTCTTTGGTGAAAACTGTGCTTTTTTTGTCACTTTTATATATGGACTCTTGATCTTTCTATTGTGCAAAATTTAAAAAAGAGAAGGATGGATTAGAAATAATTGTCTGGTTACCCTGCCCATGTAGAAGAGAGTAGAATGACATCAAGTATTTATCTCGAGTATAACTGGAGTGGACATCTGTTGCATGTTGCATGGAATCTTAACATTGTTCTAAAAGTAATTAAAAAATATTATTTTTAAGCTTAATGCATTTTAAGAGGCAGATGATGCCAGTGAAGCTGAATGTTTCTATTTCAGGATGACTTTTTAAATCTGAAATTCATTGGAAAATAATTACAGCAATATATAAACGTTTGTACTCTCAAAATATTTTATTTCTGCAGTGTACATGTTGTCTTTGGACTGGTTATTTCTGGTTTTGAAGTAATAGAACAAATAGAAAATCTGAAAACTGATACTGCAAGTAGGCCCTATGCAGATGTGCGAATTATTGACTGTGGGGTGCTTGTGACAAAATTGGCAAAAGATGGTAAGCATACGTATATCTGAAGTTAATTAAATGTTGATATTGTTTTCAGAGAGTAAAGATTATGCTAACATCTAAAAGTCATTACTGTGAATCTCTAGAATCTTAATTAATTCTTACAGGCCTTTAAAACTTAGATCTTGGTGTAGGTGAGGAAGGCACAGCAAGGGAAAAAGGTTTTCTGACCTAAACTGTTGTGCACTAGAAAATGTACGCCTGCTTCTTGTTCTCCTTAATTAATGTTTGAGGTTAATGTGACATACTCAAAGTAATTAGAAGTTATTTTCTGAGTTTGAAAGATGGAGACACAAACATATGCTTTTCTTGGAGTTGAATTTTGTGCAGTTTCCAAAAGTTTATTTTAAGATCATGTAATGTTAATATATGCGGTATATGTAGTCAACATAGTTTTCATTTTCATGAGAATTCATAGGGAATAAATTATCTTAAATATATATTTGGACAGTTGCTGTAAATTAGTGGAGTGTTGTAAGTTTGCATTTTCTACTCATTTTTACTTAAGGATAACATGATTATATCTCTTGAGAAACTCAAGAGGATAGATACTGTAAAAGTGTGAGGATGCAGAAAGGGGAGAAGGACAAAGTTTTAGTAATAAGAAATATGCAACTGAGGCTGCAACTAACTCTTTCTTAAACTTTTTGTAACTTGTGCATTGCTTTCTAAATAAACTATATTATTTTTTTTTACCATAAATGGTCTTTGCTTATCTGTGTATTCTATTTTAAAGCAAAGGTATGAATTAAGCGTTACAACCTAAAATATATTTTTCAGAGGATAAACGAGAGGGAATCCTACTTACTAAAATTACAGTTTTTCCTTAGCCTTTCTTTATATTAGGTTGGCACAAGTTAATGTTCAACTTCCACTACAAACTTGCTGTGTATTAATTTAAAAATTTTTTGGCTTTGCAATGATACGACTTCTTAGATGGTGGAAGATGTGTGTGGCAGTTCTTACAGCTTATTTCATAGCAACTAAAAGAATTCTTTTACAGCTATCTTCGCTAGACAGTATTTGTATCATTTTATTGGTATAGGTTTAGAAGGGACACAATTATATGACACTTTTTATTGTACTTTAATGCATCTCATTATGAAAAAAGTTCAGAGCTCCTCTGAAGCAGTACATGAGTGTATTTATACGTGTATAAAATTGTATATTTTGTGCTGTATATATGCACACTGCACACACATGCACGTGTACACAACGTAAATTTAAAATATCTGTTTTAAGCTTTGGAGAAGAAGAAGAAAGTATGTTCTGACTCAGAAGCTTCAGACTCCTCCTCTAGTGCATCAAGCTCATCAGAAACTTCATCTGAAAGTGAAGCCGAAAATGAAAGAAGCAGAAGAAGAAAGCGGAAAAGAAGAGGTAAAACCAAGCAATCAAGAAAACGAAGAAAGGAAGAGAGGAAGAAAGAGGATCCAAGGTGCAAGAGAACCTCAAGCCAAAGACGGTGACTAGTCTCTTAAATTAAAGAATTTCAGAGAAATTTGAGAAATTCAATTTTTTTGTCCATGAAGTACTCAATCAATTAATATGAAAATGCTTTTATTTAAGTTTGGATTTTGATGCTTGATTTTATAAGCAAATGAAACCAACCAACCAAATAAGAAAAACCCTAAAGCTGAGCTTGTTGTGTAGATTTTTTCCATGAAAGACTTTAAGATCTTTGTAGATAGAAGCTAGAGCAACTTGGAAATGTGTAAGTCTCATCATGTTAAAGTATTTGGTACTGGGTATACCTGTGTTAAAATGGAGTTTTAGTCAAATCATAGATCTTTGATAAATACTTGATTGTACTTTTGAAATACTTCACGAGAAACGGCAAATTAAAAGCAAAATTATTTGCTGTAAAGCAAGAACTGAACCTTCTTTCCAATAATAAAGCACCATCCTTCTTTTAACCTAAAATGGGTTGTTAATGAAAGATGGTTGGGTTGTTAAGCCATCTTCAAGTTCGATACGTCATGTGGGATTGTTTTGGAATTTGCTTTGGAAAGCGATGTTTATTAGTTGAGAGTTAATTTTGATTTATCAACTGTTTTTTCCCCATAGCAGCCTTTCGGACAAGAGCGATATAACAGAAAAAGCAGTCGATGTTAGCACAAAGAGAGACAAACCTGTGGTACGTCCTGAAGAAATTCCCCCAGTGCCTGAAAACAGATTTTTGCTAAGAAGAGATGTGCCTGTTGTCAATGTAGAGCCTGAACCGTAAGGAACACTGAGCTTTCTTATTATGCTGACTTGATGGAAACTATGCCTAAAATTTTTCTGCTTACTACTAGTAATACCAAATGATGGCTATAATGTCAGAATTTCTAAATGAGGCAATTTAATTGTCCCTTCTACAGTTTTCTGTGCAATATTCCTTACAACCTGTGTCAGGGTTTTTCAGTGAGATCTAATGAATTAGTTTCATTGGTCCTTAAGGATCATGCACATTATGATCTTAAACTCAATTACAGATGATGGAAAAAAAAGAATTCCAGAAGAAATTTTGCAATGTAAAGCACAGCAGTATTTGATTGCAAGGGAAACATGGGATTAGGAGAGGTGGTTTTTCATCTTTCGTAGACCAAAGAAGAAACTTTGGTTCAAAAATCAGTCAACTGGAATTTTATGACCCATCTGTAATTTTTTTTGAGAATAGGAGAAAATACTCCTTTCTATAAAAAGGAAGTAACGAGTTCACAAGTTACTTTCAGTTTGTGTTTTGCACCTCTACTAAATTGCAGTTAGGTTCTTTTTCTATCTAGTTTCTTTGCTTTTGGACTCAGATGAGCTAATACATTACATTGCCAGATGTCTCTAAAATGAGTTTGGTGTTTTTTTTTTTTTTCCTTTCTTTCAGTTAATGGTATAGTCTCATGTAAGCCTTTTCTTGAAGCATTACTCATGTTTTCAAAGCCTTAGTAACCGCTGCTCCTTGATATTGCACAAACTATAAGGAGAAGTGCTGAATTACCTCTTGTTGCTTAAGAAAGAAGCAAGGCTTTAGAACCCGTGGGTCATCGTGAATTGCCATTCCCAGCGCCAAGACACTGTTGTGTAACTGCTGAGATCCTGAAACTCTTCTTTCCGTATTGTCTTGGTGCTGTGTGCACCAGACACAAGTTAACCTCTTTAGAAAAGCCACCTCCCACTTCTGGCAGAGTACTTTGCAAGTTCATTGTTAGGGTTTATTTACATGTAGAGAGGTCAGGCTACATGTTTGGTTGAAAACACGCGTATGTTGATTTGCCTTTCATTGCAGAACTGTGCATGTCTTGCTTTATTTCTTGGAGAATTCACTGAATTCATTTATTTTGAGATGTCAGAACTAAGAATAAGTTCAATATTTTGGATGATTAACTTAAATTTGGTTTAAGTTAATTTTTTGGGTTTTTTCCATGTAAGCTCATATTTTATTAATATATGTAGGAAGCTGCTTGACTCTACGCCGGTTCTGACGGACCAGAAACCATCAGTCTCTAAATCTGGACGAAAAATTAAAGGAAGAGGCACAATAGTATGTGGCAATTTTTTTTTATTATATTTCTTTCCTCTCACCCAGAGTATCTTCTCTGACCTTGAGCTTTGAATTTCTTTGGCAGCTTTGTGTGACACACTTAACTATTGTTGATACGTTGTAGATTCTAGCTTAGAAGGTTGAAATACCCTTGTCAGGTAGTTCTTTTTATAACGCTTTTTTTCCATCCTTCTTGTTATTGTCTTTTTACTTAAAGATTGTTTGGGAGAACAAATGCTTACACTTCTCAGCTACGAGAAGTCTTCAAATGTAACAATAAAATTATTTCTTTTTAAAGATTGAAATTAATTCAGCCAGATTTGTCCCACACGAACCACAAGATCTAAAGTGATGAGAAGTGATGAGAGCTTTTATACTTCTCCACTCATTGGATTTCCTTGTTGTTTCTCTTAAGCGTTAGGACTGTAATGTGTAGCAGTAGACAAAACTGTTCTACGCTGTCCGAAGTGTATACAGCCCTTTCTGATGTGTATTGCTTGTCCCCCTGAGTTCTGGTATCTGCATCTTCTGATGGCTGTGCATACATTGCTGAGAAACAACAGTGTTTTGTTGGCAACTTTGGCAGAATCACATTTCTTGTTCTCTGTTTTGACATTTTAAATCAACCTTTTGTTTCCTTTTTCTTTAGCTACTTAATGTAGTTTGTCAAATTTCATCAGCTGTCCTGGCTGAGATCAAGTTTGTGTAATTTCATAGATGACACCACATGGGCAAGAAGTTACTATGTTGCAGTACTGGTAGTGAAGCATTTTTACAAATGGGCAGACTCAATCCTTTCTTTTTTTATTACCTTTCAGTCAAGACTGCCACTGTTTATGCAGATTTCATTTCTACTTCAAATCTTTGTTGTATCCTGAAGACTTTGGCTTTTGCCTCAGTTCTGCTGTACTCAAGCAAAGGTTTTCTTGTCTTCTCTAATTACCCACAACACAGGTCTCAAAACACTGCACAGCTATACTGTTGCTTTTCAGTCAGTAGAAGAGGGAGAAAGTAAGAAAAGCTTTTGTAATTGTGCACTTGATTCTGGTGTAATTGTAGCATACTATGACTAAGCATATTCTTCCCCTTTAGAATTATTTAGCAGGTGACATTTAGGTAACCATAAACCAAACAAAGGCTTGGTGCAAAATTTTTTTTTCAAGTGGAAGTCCTCAGGAAAAAAAAAAGTTTATATATGGAGATCAAGATCTGTGTAGTTGAAGACACTTTTCATTAGCATCGTCTTAACTGAGGCTCCTCTGAGCATGATTTTCTTATGTGATAGCCATTGGATTTGAGAAATATTTTTCTATTGATCCCCATGATACAGCCATTTTAACCCACAAATTTAATGGCTTAGATGGCTAGCATGGACCAAGGTATTGGAGTGTTTGAGCCTCCCCTGAGAACCAACCCTTATTTGCCAGCCTTGACATTAAAACTGATAGCTGTCTTTGCTGCATCTGGCAGTTTTCATTTGTATTTGACACTTGTGTTAGCCACTAAAGGAAGCCTTTTAAATGGAATGTTTTGAAACATTTATGTAAATAAATAAAAAAAAAAAATCTTAAAATAACTTAAAACTGCGTGGAATTGGCGTTTGCCAGGGATTTGTGTGTCTGTCTTGTTTTTCGTAATTTCAGCACTTTCTTGGCAAAATTAAGAATGAAGACCAGTTAATATTGGAAATAGTTTAGGGCTAGAAATTAATTGGAGAAACGCATTTTTCTGCCATCTCTAATAGTCTGATTAGCAACAGTTTTCTATCAAAGTGATGTTTTTCAAAATACTTGCTTAGTTTCAAATCCTCTTTGGTTCTGAGAGACTCCTCGGTATAATCCGAGAGGACTAGGGAGGTCCATGAAACCTTTGCAACCTATCATATGCCATTCATCTGTAAAAGCTTTATTTTTTTTAAGTTGTCATTGCTTCAGCTCAAAGGATGGGGAAGCTCCAAATCTTTATGGCAGGTTATCTGTATTTTTTTTAGATATAAATAGGATGTTTTAAAGACTTCTGCCTGTAATTAAGTGAATAAACCAATACACGGATCTTTGTGGTTTTATTCCGGGGGGCAATTTTTTGTTTTCACATATTGCTTGTTTTTATAAGTGGCTCCAAATAATTGAGTAAAATCCAGATGTTTTTCTTTGAGTCAAGGAGCATCGAATTTCCTCACAGAATTTACCTAAGTGTGTATCCAGCTGGGTAATGGAAAATAATGAGTTAGCAATATTAAAGTTTTTTCTCTACTGCACAAATAGCTCTTATTGCCTACTTAAATGCTGTGCCTGAGCATAATTTTTTAAGTGTGAAGCTTCATTACACTTCTGTGATTTTTTTTTTTTTTTTTTTTTTTTTTTTTTGCTTGAAAGGTGTCTTAAACTGTATTCCTATTTCTGAAGAGTTTACTTTTTAAATAGGGCTTGTCTTTACTCATACAAGCAGTTAAGTGTCTGCTAACTGAAGTGAAACATCTGTGCTTGAGTATGGTGGAAAAAAAAAAAGTTGGTTATCTGCAATAATTGTATTATTCCAAAAGGTGTTACCTAAAGGGAATCTATGACTTCTTCCTTGATTTTTCCTTTTATATTTTGAGAAAATGGGTTAGCTGCTGGCCCCTCTCAAGCTTTGTGAAACGCTGTCAGAGTAAGAAAAGTCACAGCTATGTAATCCAGTCTCATATGGGGATAGATGCATACCAAAAGTGGGTATTTTTGGCACAGAATCTAGAATTTCTGTTTTCTTCATGGACTTTGCATGGATAATGTTATCTGACTTGCGTTACAAAGATGCATGCAAAATCTGTGTAACAGGCACCATAGCTTTTCTATATTATTCAGGCTCTTTTAAAGAAAAATACATTATGCAGCTACCTTTCTTTGTTTTCACAGCGATATCACACCCCGCCTCGATCACGATCGTGTTCTGAATCTGATGATGATGAGAGCAGTGAGACCCCTCCTCACTGGAAAGAGGAAATGCAGAGATTACGAACGTACAGACCACCTAGTGGAGAAAAGTGGAGTAAAGGCGATAAGTAAGATCCAAACTACAGATTTAAATGTCTTTGTTTTTTTACACAAGCTTGAATTGATTGTGAGGATGTATCATGTCATTCATGCTTGAATCAAAAAAGTAAATATTTTTGTGATTAACATATTGTATTTAAATTCCAAAAAGAGAAGTGGAAAACTTTCTTTTCTACTCTGCTGTTGTGACACCAGATAAACACGCTCAAAGGTGTCAGAAGGTCAGAAGAGTGGTTTCTGATGGTGCCATCTTGGATGCTTATTTAAGAAGTAACTAACAGACCTGTTCAGTTTCCTGTTGCTTTCCATAGAGCTGGTCATGTCAGATTTCCTTTAGCTTTTGACTTGGTTACATGGTTTCTTCAGATACCAAATAAGACAACTGAATCCTATATTGGTTTAGTTACGTGTTCTTTCTGCAGTTGCAGCCTGTGATGGAAGCCAGCTCTCCAGAATTTCTGATGACTTGGTACTAAACATGAGCTTCTATCAAATTATGATAGAGAAACCTCAAAAGGAAAACTTAAGGATATTTTATATGTAATAATTATTGAATAGCTGTGAATGTTTCTGATAGTATTCTTTTAGCTGGTAGACTGCAATACAGCAATAAACTGAACACAGTATATAAAAGGAACTAAATAAGGTTATGTTTTAAAATTTGTATCTAAACATGGCTTAAAAATCCTATATTTGTAGAGGTCAAAGTCCTGTGGACTAGGGTAGTTAAAACATTAAATCTCTTTACACAGGTTCTACAATATGCAAAATTTGCAGATGTTGGCTGATTCATTTCTTACAGAAGTAGCTCTCTTGATAGTGATATAATTCTGTATCTTAAGAGTGTAACAAGCTCATTTAAAACACAGTTGTCTGGTAGTAAAGGGTGTGGGGGGGGTGTGAATTTTTTAAAAATTTAATTGCATTGAAGGTGGGGAAAGGAAAATACTTAGTTTATCTGAAGTTTTTAAAGTATTTTTATTAAGTGTGGGGCTTGTTTGTTTTCTAGGTTGAGTGACCCATGTACAAGCAGATGGGATGAAAAAAACGCATCCCGGAGATCGAGATCTTGGTCACGTAACGGTTATTCAGATCTAAGTACTGTGAGATATTCTAGCCATCACAAAAAGCACAGGAAAGAGAAAAAGAAGGTGAAACATAAAAAGAAATCTAAAAAGCAGAAGCATTTCAAGAAGCACAAGCAAACGAAAAAAAAGAAAGCATCAGCCTCTTCAGATGTAGAATCCTCTCATTCCTTCGTCAGGAGGACAAAATCATCTTGTGATCGTGAGAGGAAGTCTCGTTCTTCTTCATTATCTTCCAGACGTTCATCCAGAAGAGACTGGTCTAAATCTGATAAGGAAGACCAAAGCTCATCAACTTTGTCAAGCAGAGGGACTCGTTCGTACTACAGATCCAGATCCAGGTCTAAATCAAGATCTTATTCCCGAAGAAGTTCTAGATCAAGATCAGCCTCTAAATCATCACGTTCTCGAAGCAGGTCAAGGTCAAGTTCTAACCCTAGGCATCAAAAGACGGTTTCCAATTCTCCCCGAAATATTTCAACACGATTAAATGAAAATAAGTTGAACAAGACTTCTGAGCCTGTAAGAGCCGTTATACTCCCAAGCGATAAAATTGTCATACCACCAGTTGTCCCAGAAAACCTCCCTGTTATACCCTTAAGTGATAGCCCACCACCTTCAAGGTGGAAACCTGGGCAGAAACCATGGAAGCCATCTTATGAACGCATTCAGGAAATGAAAGCTAAAACAACCCATTTAATACCCCCACAAATGAATTTCAATTTAGTAGTCATTAAAGAGGCTAACACTTCTTCCACCTATCATAAGCGACAAAGGAGCTCAGATAGCGATCGAAGCGGTTATTCCAAATATCGTAGTGACAGAAGCTCCGATAGTTGGCTGAGATCAAGAAGCAGATCCTCTCAAAGTAGGTCATACTCAAGATCTTACACGAGATCTAGGAGTCCGTCTAGCTCTAGGACAAAATCTCGTTCTTCTGGCAGATCACCATCACTGAGTAAATACCACAGTGACAGGTCAGGTTATAGTGAGTCAACATCTTATTATTCCCTCAGTGATGATGATAGACACAGAAACAAAAGAAAATCTGCATCCAGTGATCAAAATGCTCAGTCTCTTAAATTGAGGCAAGAAACGAGCTCTGAAAGTACTCTCCCTTATAAGTGTACAAAAGACTATGATGAGTCTTCTCAAGGATTGAAAGAGAGTGACAGTTTATCATCTTCAGACTTCTCTACTGACAGCGAGCGTTCTGCCAAAATAAAAGTAGCCCAAGAAAAAGAAGGCCGTTTTCAATTAGAAGGAGATACTCAGAAACAGGATAAAAATAGTTTAAGTTCTGAGAGAGGGGGGGAGAAATCCAAATGTGAACAGGATTCTGATCGTGCTAAAAAGAAAGCAGCTAAAGAGAAATCCTCTGAGCAGCCTAGAGGTGGTGCAAAAACTAAACGAAAATCCTATTCGGGTAGTAAATGGGACTCTGAATCAAACTCTGAAAGAGGAGAAGCAAGGCATAATAGAGGAGATTCCAGACCCTCCTCTAGTAAAGAAGAAGGAGAGGCCACATCGGGATCTGATACAGAGATTAGTGTTACCAAAAGGATAAAAAAACAATCAAATTCTTCAGAAGGCTTTCTGGATTCTGATTGTACATGGAAGACAAGCAAACCGTTGTCGTCTTCGGAATCTGAGAGTTCTTGTTCTAGCTCAACAAACGTTAGAGGAAAGTCAAAAAAACACAAACATGGATCAAAAAAAACTCCTAAAAAATCACATTCCAAAAAATCAAAAGAAAAGTCAAAAGGGAAAAAGGAGAAGAAGCACAAAGTTCAGAAAAGAAAAGAAATGTTTCATTGGCAGCCCCCCCTGGAGTTTGGCGAAGAAGATGACGATGAGATAAATGAAAAGCCAGTCACCAAGGATGATAAAAAAGAAAAGCAGCTTACCAGGGATGTAAAGGATAAAAAACAAGTTTATGAAAAGGATGAAATAGTCAAAGATAAAATGGGAGTTGGTGAAAAGTCTTCTACAGGTGAAAACCTTCCAGGTAACAACACTACGTGTAATGCCTCACCAGATCCCAGTAACCTTAACAAAGATTGCATTGAGACAGATGCTTCAACCAGTATTTTAAACTCAGGAATGAATGTGACTGTTTCCAAGAATGAGATTAAACAAGATGAAGAAAGTAACCAGAATGGATTAGAAGATGTTATTCAGACAGATGACAACATGGAGATTTGTACTCCAGATCGTAACTCACCAGGGAAGGTTGATGTGGAAGTTTTGTCTCCTGTCATTCTCACTACTAAACCTCAGGCTTTAAGTGCTAGTATAAACAAAGATTTACAGGTTGAGACCCCTGAACAAGATGCTGTCAAACTAGGAAACAATATTATAGACTTCATTAGTATTAAAGAAGAAAAAGAAATGGGAAGGCAAGAAAATAACTCTGTCCCTGTATCCGGTGCTAAAGACTGTAGTTTAAAAAGTGAAATTACTGAAAATACACAAAGCAATATAATAGATAATAAGTGGAAGCCTTTGCAAGGTGTTGGTAACTTACAACCAGCAACAATTAACACTGCCGCAGAAGTTAAGAACGTAGCTTCAGCCCCAGAGCCTAAACCAGCAGGTTTAAGAATTGAAATAAAGGCTAAAAATAAAGTAAGGCCTGGCTCTCTGTTTGACGAAGTTAGAAAAACAGCACGGCTAAATCGAAGGCCAAGGAACCAAGAAAGTTCCAGTGAGGAGGAGTCTCCAAGTAGAGATGACAATAGCCCCTCCAGGAGTCTCAGTAGGTCACGAAGTAAATCTGAATCTAAATCCAGACGCAGAACAAGGTCCATATCCTACAGCCACTCAAGAAGTCGATCCCGAAGTTCGACATATTCATATCGGTAAGAACTTTGTGCGATTCCCACAGCCTACTGTGTTAACTTGAAAGTTCTGATATTTTTAAGGCATGTTTTTCAACTTGTGTTTTCCTTTTAAACAGCCCGGTATCATTTGATGAGTATGGAATAAATCTTTAGCTTAAAAGATAAAGCTTTATAATGCTTTGGCTTCCTGTTTTCTGCTGCTCTTCAGTTACGTCCTGTTACGTGGTTTTCAAAGTTGTTCATCAATTGTAGGTCAAGAAGCTATACAAGAAGCCGAAGCAGAGGTTGGTATAGTAGAGATTGGTCAAGAAGTCGAAGTAGTTCTTACCACAGTTACAAGAGTCGTAGGTGAGTTCCTCTGATTGGAGATAGTGCTGGGGGGGGTATTACAAAACCAGTCAATGAGGCGCAGCGGTCCGATGCGTGAGTCGCTGAGCCAGGTGGAAATGTGCTTCTCTAGGCATACTGCAGTCTGAAGTATTCGACTTGAAACGTGCAAGTTAGATCTCCAAATGTCCTGTTTCTGAAAAATAATTTTGTTTAATGTTTGGTAGTGTGGATAAGGAATTCTGAGCAAATGATGTTCCTCTCCTTTTGTTCCCCTCTCCCCCTGTTCTCTGCAGCACTTGTTTCTGATTAAAGTGCCTCTGTGTTTTTGTTTTTGTCAGTTGGACCTATAGTAGAAGTAGATCCAGAAGTAGTTCCTATGGTCATCACAGTCGATCCAGGTACGGTTTATATTATATACAAACTCTGCAATAAATGTACTTATGAGAAAAATATCTTAGTACAAGAATATCTCCTTTATCTACGGTACTTAAAAATATACTATTGTGATAGCGACTTCAATCAAAGCAAAATCAACATAAGACACTTTTAAAAGCTGAAAATAACCAAATCATTCTGGCATTACAGTTGCAGATGATGATGTGAGCTTAGTTATACTGAACACATTTCCCTTTATTGTTAAAATTGAGTTATAAACTGAGTCACTTCGTTACTTGCTTTCAGGAGTATTAGCAAACAAAATTTTTACTGCATCTACAAATAGTATAGAATGTCAGGCTCATATAAGCTGGGGTGAGTTGGCTGGGAGAGGGAATTGCTGCTCGGGCATCAATCAGTGAGTGGTGAGCAATTACATTGTGCATCACTTGCCTTTTCTTGGGTTTTGTTTCTTTTTCTCATTCGTATCACATTCCTTTTCATTACAGTTATTATTTTATTCTTGTTGGGTTTATTATTATTTTTTATTTTAGGTATTAAACTGTTCTTTCCTCAACCCATAAGTTTTAATCCCTTTTTTTTTTTCCTTCCTGATTCTCCTCCCCATCAAACTGGGAGGCAGGAGGAGTGAGCATGCAGCTGTGTGGTGGCTAGTGGCTGACTGGGGTTAAACCAGACACTTGTTCTTGTATTTAAACTTTTATAAAATGCAGAATTACTGTTTGCCACATTATTCAAAAGCAATTTCTATATAGCCACTTATCTCTGTGTGTAAATGTCTTTAAAGCATGCATTTAAAATACATAGTGTTTTAGACAAGAAATTGTAAATTTAAAATTACTTTTTTTTCCCCTTTAAAGTAGATCATACACGTATGATAGTTACTACAGCAGAAGTCGAAGTAGGAGGAGTGACAGCTATCGAAGATCGAGAAGTTATGATAGGCGATCCAGGTACGTTTTTGCTAGCGTGACTTTGACACTGTGTTTATGCAAAAAAAAAAATTGCTAAATATATACTTACAATATTTGTGAAGGCTAATGTTTTTTCCCCCAAGCATAAAAAAATGCACTGTTACCAAAAGTAATAATTAAAATCAGTTCAAATTAATGTAAGTGTGTGATTGAGGAAATCGGAATTTCTGACATACTAAATTTGAGGATGGGAAAGAAACGGGGATAAGAAAGATTGAGAAAGCTCCAGTTCATTGTATGTATATATTCAAAATAAGCATGTTTGGGGTTTTTTAATAATTCTAAATGTTTCTTAAAAACTACAGTGAACTAGCTCTCAAGATGCCAGTAGAGTGCCCTGTTACAGATTAAAAGCTACCTGGTATGCGAAGAATTCCATTGGATGGTAAAGTCTTTTTGGTTAGACTGCAAAAGTGAATTGAAAAAAAAAAATCTGGAAGGGAAGTAAGAAATTCCAATGCTATCCAGAATTAATTTTTAACTTCCTAGAACATATTTTGAAAGATGCACACAGCACATGCAGTGTGCTTCTGATGAATTTAGGATAAATTTTATTCTGCTGAGTCCAGGGGAATTATATAAAAGTTTAGTAAGTGAGCACATTTCAAAAAGATGAGAAGTGGAATGAGAGAGAGGCAGGGGAGGTAGTGAATGTCAGGGATGATTTGTTTTGTACCTTTTACTGTGTCCCATATTAGTCACTGGTAAATCAGGCAGATCTGAGACTACTGTAACTTTTCATCCTCTGCTGTCCTCGTACTCGTTTTTCACAACTTTGTACCAACCCTTAATAGCCTTGCTTTCACCCCTTTCCCCATCTAGTTCTGACAGAGACAACTTTCATCTTGTGTTTGAGGGGAATTTAATGAGATTGATGAAGAGTGTGGAAATAAGACTTACAAAATCATTGTTTCAGGAAGTTGGGAAGCTTCAGAGAAACAATGTTGGATAGGATATGCCCATCTTTCATTTAGAAAGCTTTCCTTACAGGCATGAGGTTAGAAAATCTCTCATGCAAGTTTATTCTGTGTAATTTGAGTATGTCCTGTGGCTTGTCTGAAAAGATCTGGACTCTATCTTGGTATTTGGCCAGGTGCTGAGCTTGGAATTCTTCTGGATAAGCCAAAACATTTTAATCTACAGCTTCCATTCTGCAGGCACTCACACACTCCCATTATCGTTACAGGGCCAAATTCTTAAAGATCCTTCCTCAAAAGAAAAACTGCAATATATAAAGCAAAGATTTGTGAAATTATCTTAATTGAGAAACACTCGCAATGTAAAATTATATTTGTTAGGATATACTTCAGTCAGCTATTGGCATTTACAGAAACGGTTAGTTTGGATGATTGGCTGTATTGGAGAAAGCAAGAAACTTTTGTAGTTACAAATACAGTTTGACTTGAGTTGCACAGAGTTTTCATCATGCAAAGTTAAGGATTGTTTTGATTTTGAGTGTCCCTTCGTGAATGCTTCAGTTATATGAAATACGATCCTGTAAAAGACTTCTTGTGTGTTTTCTTCTTGTCTCATCTGTATCTGTCTTGACAATTTTTTTACATGATGCAATTCTGAATTTGAAGCTCAAAATACAATTTTGAGGCCTTTTAATCTTTTCTTTGTAGATCTTATGGCTCTGACAGTGAAAGCGATCGCAGTTACTCTAACAATCGAAGTCCCAGTGAAAGCAGCAGATATAGCTGAAAACGTTTCTTTTGATGATGGAAACTGTATTTCATGATTATTTTTTTTGTCAGTGTTATGTTAAAAACTGTTTTGACAGTGTCACAAGTGAAGTTGAAGGGTGTTTACTGAGTTAGCTGAAACTTTACCATTTAACAGTGAACTCACTTGACTGACTGTATACTTGTGGAGCGAAGTACTGAGTTCAACTCAACTGATTTTTTTTTTTTTTTTTTTGTTAAATGCTACTTTTACAAAATAGGTAAAAAAACCAACCAAACAACAACAAAAAAAAAGAAAACAAAACAAAACAAAAAAACACACAAAAAAAAAACAGTTTTATTTCCTTGAATTGGATTTTCCAAGCCATGAATGACACTTAGGTGAATTTGCTGCCTCTACTTTTCTGGGTGCAGCAATCAGTACTGTCTTCAAGTATGTTTATAAACACCTTCAGGCTTTCTGCCTGTTTCTATGAAATACATGCTATCAACTATAAAACTGTGAAGAAAACTTCTGACAAAAGCTGCCATTTCTAGTTTGTTAAAATACTTTTTTTTTTTGGCGCTGGAAGATGGGTCCCATGCTGTCTTGTTTGTTGATGATTGCGTTATGTACAGTAAATACACAACAGCTAGGTGATGAAAACAAAGACTGCCACTCTGTCTTAATCCTTACTGTACTGTGATATTACACAAGTCTGCTGAAAACGGTGAGATTATGCACAATGGGAATTGTCAAACTGACAAGCAGTGAGCAGAAGTGTGATGAATGAGTTTTGATTTTAATATTCAACTTGTCTAAACTTTTATGTTTGAAAGTGGATTTTATGATAAACAGCAATGTTGGGAATCTTAAAAAAAAGTGTTTCTAAACACTTTCTGAATTTCATTTCAATTCCTATTACAGTGCTTGGCATAGTTCAACATGTTTTGAAGTTGAATTGTTGTAAACTGAGTATATCATGAATTTGTTCAAAATACTTTTTTAAAAAATTGGTGATGGTAATTTTTTGAGAAAATAAACCATAATGGTTCCTTTATAAAATGTCTGTAGACGTATCCCATTTGCCATAGGGAATATCAGATATTAATATTGCAGATACTGAACTATATATTGTTAAAGTGATATGACTACAACAATATGCCTGATAAAAAGCATGGACAATACTTGCAAAGTTTAATACCAAAAATGACTCCATGTTACAGGTAAACAGTTTGCAAAAAACCCCCATGGATTTAAACTGAAGAGCATTGAGTAATTTTTGCAAAATTCTAATTGAGTTGATATAAAATAATTTGTAAAGTTTTTCAGTGTTTAGAAAGTTGTGTACTAAGAAACATTTTTTTTTTTTTAATGGCATAATGTAACCTGAAAAATGGAGTCTGTAGTGGGAAAACAGGCTAACATAGCTTTATTAGAGCTAATGAGTACTGTTGTATTATAATAGTTTTCATTACTGACTTTCTGTAATATCTTGAGATGCTTTCATTTTCTCAAATGTTTTCAAATATTGAATTTTTTTTTTTTTTAAATCTCATCAGGACCTAACAGCTTTGAAAATTAAAAGCGGTAATTTCTTGCTTAGACGTCAATTCATACTGTCTCTTTGATTGAATTAAGCTATCCAAAATTAGCTTTTGGTACGCTTCTGAAACGGAAAGAAAGTTCAAAGTGAAGTTTGAAGACTAATGATGCCCTCCATTTCTGCCCGTGAACAGCTGAGTAAGACGTTTGCACGCAGGTTCCTAAAACTGAATTTGTCAGGCAGGTTTTTCACTTTGTAGAAGAACCCAAAATTCTGGACTTACACCCTTCCTACTCTTACGGTTCAGTGGAAAAGTGTGTCCACATAATCCTTTCAAATCAGTATTTTGTAAGCTTCTGATGCTGTTAAACATTAAGTACATTTATTACTCAAGTCAGTATACATTTTCAGACACGATTCAAACAGTAACAGCCATTTTAGAATCCTGAGCGTTTCATTGCTAACTCGAGATCATGGTTGTTGCAGTTTCATAGTTGTAAGTACAACTTGTTTTTTCCCTTACTGAGAAAATAGAATTAGTGGGTTATGGGTGTAACAAAATACACAAATATAAAAATTGCCATTCAACACTTCTTAGAGAAAATGTTGTTCCAGAATCAGACTTTGTCATATTTCACATCTGAGTTGACTTTTTCTAAGACCAGGAAAAGGTAATAGCAACATGGTCAATCAGTTAATTTAAGTTGTCCAAAATTACTGCAATGCCACTAACATCTATTTCATATCTTGAACTAAAGCTTTATAAAGAAATTCCATCTGGAGATGGTCAGGGAGGGGTGTGAGGGACCGGGGGGAAGTATTTTTACTTAGTGAAGTCTGTTAAATTGTGCTTCAGATAGAAAATGTACCCCTGCGCTGGTTTTCTAAGGTCGGTCTCTCTAGGTTTTTGCAATTTTGTTATTCAAAAGTAGTTGCTGTTTGTAAAATAAACTTTTGTACATATCTGCAAATGCTGTTTTCTCTACATCTGGAAAAATCCGTGGCTGCTTGAGAGAAACAGGCAGGAAAATTAAAAATATACTTCAGTTTCTGTATCTGCTTTTGTCCCTTGCAAGACTACATCCACGTTGCCTTTCCTTCTCCTGACCTACATAGAGTGATTCCTCAGCAAGGCTCTGTACTGGGTTTACATAATAGTCATGGGAGGAACAAATATTTTGAAATTTCCAAGTGATTTGAGCTCTCGCCATTTCCTCAAGATGTATAAAAGCCTCCTATCCTTTGTGAGAAGATACACTTAACAGGTCTACACGGAAATCTCTCAGTGGGCCGAGTTTAACAATTTTGCTAAATATTCCTTCCCAAATACACATTCCCACATCCTTTCCGTAACGTATTGGAAGTGTGGTATGAGTTCAAGTCAGCAGATGTAATGGCTCAGCAAACTAATCCACTAGTCTTTTAGACCTTCTGTTCCAGAAAAACTGGATTTCATTGGAAAATACCAGCTTTGTTCTAAGGGAAAGGCAAAGTGTCTTGGCCTAAGGTAAAAAGGGCAAGTGGAAGTGTTTCCTTGTTTTTTGGTTTAGTCTTTAGTGTGATCCAGTTAACCTGGCATTTCCCAAACTTCAGATCACTGCCTTGGAGGAGGCACAAGAACTCGTAGATGGGAAAAGTAGGAACTCCAGGTGATAGGAGCAATAGTGATGAAAGGTATAAAAAAAAAAAAAAAAAAAAAATAGTAATTTAAGGTAGGGAAAGGGTGAAGGGCTACATCAAACAGAGCAGGCAAAACCAGTAGCGTAAGAAATGTTAGACACTAGCGTAAGCAGGAGAGGTAGTCAACAACCTTTCTTTTAGATAAATAACATTGCTTTTTGTGCTTAAAAAGCCCTGTTCTGGGCCGTGGATGAAGATGAGGATCCCGGGGCAGCTCTCGTGGTGCCGCAGAGGTCAGGCCATCACCTCGAGCCGGGCGCTGTGCTGGGGCACGCGGCGTTAAAAATAGAGTCGCTGACGCCCCGTTAGGTATTACTCATTAGTGACTTTTTTTTTTTTTTCTATTTAAGTCTGAAATCCTGCAGTGTAGTAAAATTATGATTCAAGTCTAAGTGTTTTCATCAAAAAAAAAAAAAAAAGAGGGGTGGCGGGGGAGTTCTAAATAAGTTTAGGTCTGTAGATCTGCGGTTGTTTTGGCGTGGATTATCCGCTGCATAGTGCACAGAATGTTGCTGGGTGCAGCTCTGTAGGAGCAAGCTCTGTCTCCAGTTGCAGGTGAGTCACTTAACTTGCTTAGACTAAGACAATATTAAATGAACCATCTGGCTATCAAACAACTAGTTCTTCTAAAGCACGTCTTTACAAAGCAGCAGCATAAATGCACTTTTCCTACGATACCGACGTGCAGAGAGCTTTCCTTCCTCCTGTATCACTTTTAAACAAGGGCTATTTGTGTCCTTGCACTCGAGGGTAAGAAGCATTTAAAGTGCTCTTTCAGAAGATCACCAAGTATCTGACAGTGTATTAAATTTCTGTTGATGGCTTTGTGTGGCTCGTGATGATCATGCTTACAGTTTGGAGCAGAACACAGTATTTAGATGACCTTGAGCTGCACTCTGGAATCCATCTGGTGTAATTTCCAAACGGAACGCTGCCTGGGATTTAAATCATGAGAAGATAAAGCTTTGCATGCTCCGCCCCTATTTAGCAGCCATATAAATAATTATTTTTTTTTTTTTTTTTAATACGGTGGTGAAGCAGTAATGACCTTCCACCTGGTTTTAAAATGCTTTAGCTGCTTAACTGCAGTAGGTTAAAACTGTTTAAAAATTATATGAACAATTAAAGGGACCCAGTCTTGAATTTAATAACGTCCATGTAATCCCACTGAAGTAGATAAGATCCCATGCATGAAATCGGTCTGTGGCAGTTCATTGGCTTTTTTTTTTTTTTTTTTTAATAATGAAGGTAATATTTCAACCTCATGGTGGATGCAGAAAGAGGGGGTGGGCAATTCATTTGGGTATTAATTGCTATTTCTGCTGCGATGTGTATCTGTCTTTGAAAAAGCCAATGTCTTTACCTAAAGGATGGTCTAACGTGGAAGGTGCTGAGCTCCACGCAGCTCGTGAACATTTGTAGCCCCCACCCTGGCATTATGTCCTAGTCCCAGCCTTAGGCTGCAAATTTCCTTAATTAATTCCTTAATTTAGCCAAGAAGGAGCTGCCCTTCCTCTTGGGCTTGCTTTTTCTTCCAGCTCATCGTGCACCCGGTGAGAGAGGACAAGGAAGGCTTCTCCCCCCTCTCCTGGTGCCTTGGCTGCTCGGGCAGCGTCTGCGTAACTTTGCCCCCTGTGCCTTTGGGGAAATGGGCTGTGAAAAGCAGGAGGAGGGTGGGGAGAGGGTGAGGGGCTGGTGATTGCTGCGCTTCCCCGAGAAACGGGGGAATGGACCAGAGAGGTGAATCGACGGCCAGAGGCTGGAGGTCTTCGAGGGCCGCTTGAAGAAGGGTGTTTAAAGAAAAATTAAAAAGCAAACACATTCTAGTGAGAGGGCTAGATATTTGGCATAAAGAAACCTTTTTTTTTTTTTTTTTTTTTCTTTTTTTTCTTCCTAAATCACCATAGCCATGTCTATTTTACATGTTTATATTCACTATCAGAACTTCAAGGGAAAGGGAGGTGAGCGCTTCCCTGGCAAACCTCCACCCCCCCAGCTCCGCTGCCCACTTGACTATCAGAAAATCCGTTTTGAGTTGAGGAGCAGCCTCAAAGGGGGAGGACTGTTGGTTGAGGCAGCCTGCGGGCTCTGGCACAGCCGGCTGCAGAGCTTTCCTAGAATAAAAGCGGCATATCCGTGGTTACAACCAAGCCTTGGGTGTACGAAGAAAAGAAAAACCATGAGGGCAAATCTCGGACCTTGTGTCGGTAAACTTAGCAGGGTTGCTGTAGTGCTGAACCACGCTGTTTCATAAGGGCTGTATAAAGCAGTTGGGGATTGGTTTGTTGTTTTTTTGTTGTTTTATTTTTTTTTTTTAAATCCTTTTATGGTGCTGAGGCACGCAGCATCCTCTAGCGCTGGCTTCCACTTTTTAAAGAAATAACACTGCCGGTGGGGAACTCTTTTTTTTTTTTTTTTTTTTTTCCCTAGTGTAACGTGCAGTTTGGATCCTTTCATTGAGTGTCCATTGAGAGAAACAGCAGCCAACAGTTCCCCGGTCGCTTCATTGGACTTCTTTTCAGTATCTTCCCTGCAGGGCCCTATCGATCCCTACTGTGTCCCAGGGTTAGGGCTGCCGGGGGGGGGTCCCCGGCCTTCGCTGCTTGTGTCACCCACGGTCACTGGTGCGGAGCAGCGGCGGCTCCGCGAGCGGCGTTGGTGGTTGGCACCGAGGTTTAGACATCAACAAGTTGTTCATTTTAAGTGTCAAAAAAAAAAAAAAAAAAAAAGGAGGAGGAAGGATATCAAGTACTTAATAAGCTGAAACAGGGGAGGTTTAGATGAGATCTAAGGCAGAAATTGTTCCCTGTGCGGGGGGTGAGGGGCTGGCCCAGGGTGCCCAGAGCAGCTGTGGGTGCCCCCTCCCTGGAAGGGTTCAAGGCCAGGTTGGATGGGGCTGGGAGCACCCTGGGCTGGGGGAAGGGGGCCCTGACCTTGGCAGGGGGTGGCACTGGGTGATCTTTAAGGTTCCTTCCAACCCAAACCTTTCTATGCGTCTACGATACTTGATGTTCTCATCTGTGGAAGGACAGTCTGGAGCGCAGAGCGTTACCTAAGACTTTTGAGATGGACGTTGGTTTCTCCATACCATCAAAGCCACCGTGTGTTTTCTGGGACAATTTCCCACTCTCAAGAGCTCACAAGCATGCTGTAAAGATGGGATTCCCTACTGAGCTCGGCAGGATTGGTTATTAGAGAATTGAGAGCTGTCTGAGGATAATTTCGTCAACAGTAGCGACTCTGGGAATATGAGCTGATAACATATAAAACACAGGCTGCCTAGCCGTGCCTCTGCTAATTGGTGTGATTTTAGATTTCCTGAGTGTAGCAGTGCACCTCTCTTCTTTATTTTCCATTAAATTACAGGGGGGAAACAAATCCAAGCCATAAAATTTTTATCAAAACAGCTATACGTCCCAAGAGCACATACTGATGGAGAAATACAGCTTTAGTGATGGGTTTCCTATAGATTTCCTGCAGGAAACTTGCACAGGGTCCACAGTTTTCTCTAATTTCTATCAATAGCTTTGAACCAACACCTTTCAGAAAAGGTTTGTGCCAGAGAATATAGCAAAAAGGGACCTTTTCTGCCACGCACCATTTCCTCGTTCCCAGAGGCAGGATCAACTCTAGCTCTATCAATCACAGTAGTTCTTATCCAAAGTATCTGTAAAAAATTGCCAGCGCTGAGATTCAGCAGTTCAAGTGCCAAAACCAATATTGCCTGAACTATCCACTCTGTAAAAAAAAAAAAAAAAAATGTATTTTCTGATACCTAAACTAAAGCTTCTTTGCTGCCACTTAAGCCTGTTACTACTTCTCACAGCTAGAGAGGAAAAGAATGACTTCTTTCCTTGACTATTTAAGTAGAAAGGAAAAGGCCACCTTAAATATTTGTAAAAGGGCTGGGCTAGCTCTTGCCCAAATCTGGTCTTTTCTGGACTGCATAGCTCCAAGCCCTTTGGTTTTTGGGGGGTGGTTTGGAGATGGTGTGGGGTTTGGTTGGGGTTTTTTGTGTTGTGGGGTGGGGTTTTTTTTTCAACTTTTTAGATCTGACTATCTCCTGGACTCTTCCACCAGCACATAACCTCCCTAAATCACCATACCCAGGTGGACAACATACTCCGGGCAAGGCTTGACGGTGCCAGGCGGATCTCAAGCATCTCTCCACGCGTCCTACAGGCAATGTTGACATGTCCTTGCCTGTGGTTTGCTGCTTTTCCAGCAGCGTGAGGAGAGCTGCTCGCGGCCGGGCAGGGATGCGCTGCTGCCTCTGCCTCCCCCTGCCCCA